TGTGTGTGTGTGTGTGTGTGTGTGTGTGTGTGTGTGTGTGTGTGTGTCACAAAAAAGATATGTTATGACTCCTAACCTACTAACTAGATTCTCTTTTCCTATGCACTACACAAATGTCTTATTTCTACTTAAATTATTTAATGATACACACAATGTCTTTAAAATAGTCTCTCCTATATCTTGGTGTATCATTTACCTTGTGAAAGGATACTTAGCTGAAGTTTTGGGTTTCCCTTTTGATGTTTAGCTATTTAAGTTTTTATCCTTAACCAAAGAGATATGTTCCTCCCTTTAATTGGGCTTCTATCTTAGTATAAAGGCCAATTTAACAGACTATGATTCTCTATAGTTTCTTTCATAATCTAGTGGTCTCAAGGTGCTTAATACTAGCCATTAAATACTATCAGGTTAAACACTAGACAAACTGAGCTGTTACATATGAAGCAGTACGTTGCCCTCTTACAATACTAGATTTTCAACGTTATTTCACTGAGAAGGGGTTTAAATGCCGGCACCTACAACAGGGCAACACTGATGTTATACTGCACTCTCAGCACTGGATCTGATCCTGGTGCTCAACCTCCCAGTCCAGAAGACAGAGAGTCAGCAATTAAGACATACTGATTCTGTAAAGTACATTCAGAATTCTACACTCTCTCTCTTATGTTAGAACCATAATGCCTGCACTTAACGTATTCATGCATATGCCTATGTAGTTCGAACTCTGTTCCTTCATATTTAATTCAGGGAATTGGTTCTTGAAAGACTAGCTACATTTTTAGTTTTTCGGCAAGGTTCTGTCACGTTCAGCATCTCTGTAACCCTTTCTGAATTATCGCCATCCTTATCCTTCAGATCATTCCAGATTCTCTCAAGCTTTTTTTTTAAACAAAGATGAAAAAATTTCCCTTTGCCAAGAAATTTCCTTTCCTCATTTAGTCCCCCTATTTCTATGATTTGACATCTCCACATGACAATCAAAGAGTAAGAAAGTCCGAATAGAATTAAAATGTGAATTTGTGCAATACAGAAAAAGAGGAATAAAGCTCTTCTAGCTCACCATACACTGAAGCTTTTGAAAGAGCACACATCTAAGCTGCATATGAGACAAAATTAATTCATATTAACTTACCAGAGTCTATCTGTGATGAGAGTATTACCAGTGATTGGGATGTTTCTAAATCATAAATGACTGTGCTGCCAGTGCTAAAAGATGTGACCATATGAGCAGGATCACAACCTATAAAGTCAACCGATGTAGGTATTCCATGTTCTAAGGAGAAAAGAAAAAAAAAGATTAGATAGAGAAATAAAACCCTTAAGATATCTTATAGGCTTAAAAAAGTTTAAATGATCTTTCCTATTTTTCTTCCACAGTAATTACCAAAGAAACTCCTTTTAGAGTTTTTACAAAATGCTGCAAAAAGAAATAAAGCAGCTTCCTTAATTATCAGCAATAATAATAATCAGCAATTTTAAAAAGTAAGATTGCCAAAACCAGCTAAGGTTTGTGCAGAACTCATTCCACTTAAAGAGCTAACATCTGAAGAGGAAGGATGTGATGGCTGTAGAAGGGAGTGAAGGCTTCACTTAAGAGGTTCATCACAGCTGCATTTCCTTGGAGCTCCAGTAGTTTTCCTTTAGTCCTAGAAATACTGCAAGTTGATACTTGGTTTGGGCAAACTGAGGAAACTAACTTATCCCCTTCCCATCACACAAATTTTTAAACAAAAATGCCTTTTTTAAAAAAAGGCAAACATCATGCTCACCCTTTTCTCCATTGTAAGTGCAAATGCAGGGCAATTTTTCTGGTGGATTCCATAATCTAATAGTGCCATCTGCTGAACAAGATAGCAAATGATTCTTTATACCACTATAAGCAAGACCCCAGACTGCATCTGTATGAGCAATTAATGTGCCAGCTAGAACGTTTGGCTCTGGAAAGGAAAAAAAATTCCAAAGTTAAAGCTTTTTACTGAAAATGAGAAATACTAAAAAACTGTTTTTACCTAGGTACAAAATAATTCCTATGGTAAACTCAAAAACCACAGTTGGTATTTTCCAGCTTCAGTAATTAATAGAATATAGATATCATAACCATGTAATAATCCTGTAGAAATCAGTAAGAGACAATCTAACCAGTAACCAACAAAAAAATCCCCCCCAAAATAAAAGGGAAATTATAGAATTCTGAACTAAACTGGAACGAAAAACTAAAATTGGATCCAAAGCAGGCACTTGTAATTTCACACATTGTGTGTGTTACTTTAGTTGTCAGTCAGTAGATGAGGTTGGAAACTTAATTTCAATCTCTTAGGCCTGGTCCACACTAACCCCCCACTTCGAACTAAGGTACGCAAATTCAGCTACGTTAATAACGTAGCTGAATTCGAAGTACCTTAATTCGAACTTACCGCGGGTCCAGACGCGGCAGGCAGGCTCCCCCGTCGATGCCGCGTACTCCTCTCGCCGAGCTGGAGTACCAGCGTCGACGGCGAGCACGTCTAGACAAGACGCGATAAATCGATCACAGAAGATCGATTGCTTATGGCTGGACCAGGAAGTAAGTGTAGACCTGCCCTATGTTCTATAAAATAAAATGGGCTAGTACAATGAATATTTTAGATAAATCAATGTAAATGTTTTCACGCAGTAATATGCTTTATTGAAAGCATATTCATAATAATCATTTGCATAACACCTATAATAATGGTATGATTCACCTGGAACTCCAATGTACAGAAAGAATTACTATTTTAATAAAGTTCCATAGTTACAGAGCCAACCAGATGATAACTGAGGTAGCAGTTACTCATTGATCTGGATCGCAGGCACTTTCATCTTTAATCAATAGTACAATATCAATTACTTTTCATGGCTGAAGGCACCTCAGCTGTTCGCAATGACAAATGAATAAAATGCAACTAAATGGCTATAAGTAAGGCAATTTTTCTTTCTTAAGACAACAGAAGGGGCTGGCCAGACACAGCCTGATGCTCTTCTCTGCTCCTGTGATGCTTCAAAGGGATGTCCAGTTATAGGGAGCAGAGAAGCTGAAATGTGCCTTGTTTGTAGCTGGGAGAGAAGGAGAAGAAAAGATCCGAGCTCTAGCAGCTGCTTTTACCAGGCTCTCCCTTTTCACAAACCTGACAGCTCTAGGATTCTCGTGTAGAAGAGTATTTATACCCAGTGCCAGCCTCCTTGCCAAAAAAATAACATGAAAGAGCTCTTGGAGGCTTTCTTTCTGCTTTGGGGTGAGTGGCTCCAGGAAAACATGTCCTTTCTTCCTCTTCCCCTCCTTCTCCAATATACCTTTAAACTTCCTTCATATCAGGCTTTGGGCATGACCATCCCTGCGGCATTATTTATTTATTTAATTTGGGAGCAGAAAAGGACAGGGAGGGAAGGAACAAAGTGAGGGACAGGGATACAGTAATCTTTTAATGAAAGGTTTCAGAGTGGTAGCCGTGTTAGTCTGTATCAGCAAAAACAACGAGGAGTCCTTGTGGCACCTTAGAGACTAACAAATTTATTTGGACATAAGCTTTCGTGGGCTAGAACCCACTTCATCAGATGCATGGAGTGGAAAATACAGGAGCAGGTATAAATACATGAAAGGATGGGAGTTGTCTTACCAAGCGTGAGACCTCTCTGGCTTCAAGATTAGGCTAGATAAGTTTATGGAGGGAATGGTTTGATGGGATAACATGATTTTAGTCAATTAGGCAATAACAGCCATCGCTGGTAAAATGAGGGTCTGGCTAGAGAATCTTGCCGGGAAGGAATTTTCCTCCAGGGTAGATTGGCAGTGGCCCTGGAGGTTTTTCGCCTTCCTCCGCAGCATAGGGCAGGGGTCGCAAGCTGGAAGATTCTCTGCAACTTGAAGTCTTTAGATCACGATCTGGAGACTTCAACAGCAGAGTTAAGGGAAAGTGGGGGGGTCAGCTTTTGTGGCCTGCATCATGCGGGAGGTCAGACTAGATGACCATATTGGTCCCTTCTGACCTTAAAGTCTATGAGGTCAGTCTAACGAGACAATTCAATTAACAGCAGGATACCAAGGGAGGAAAAATAACTTTTGAAGTGGTAATGAGAGTGGCCCATTTCAGACAGTTGACAAGAAGGAGTGAGTAACAGTGGGGGAAGTTATTTTTCCTACCTTGGTGGTGCCACAAGGACTCCTCGTTCTTTTAATGAAAAACGTAATTCAGAAAGAAGCTAGAAATATCTAACAAAACCTGCCTCTCCAGCTGGCACTCTTCTGACAAACCTTAAGAAAAATTCACTCAGGGTTCCCAAAACAATGCTTCCATCCTAAATATAGGGCTGCTCACAGATGGACCCATTTTTTTTCTGAGCCCTACACCAGTTAGGCTTGAGGAGTCTTCATTAAGGGAGTGCCAGATCTTGCAGTCAGATGTTCAATAGATACCAATGATTCACGCATACACAGTACCAAAATGGAATGTCAGCATGAGCCTGTAGAGGTGATTCCAATAAATCTGATGGTACCATGGATGAGGGAGCTGAAGAAACTGGTATTGACCTTGTAGCTGAATAACTTGGATCCCTCCACCTGCCCTGGGTGGGGGCTCCTCAGGCCCCCCACCTAGGCCAGGTGGAGGGTCTGCCGTGCCTCCCCACAGCTCCCAGCGCGGCTCCCCCTGACCCGGCTTCGGCCGGGGAGGAAGGGCGGCTTGGAGCCGCAGACCAGCCATGGTAAGAGCTGGGTGGACAGCTGTGGCAAACCCTCCACCTGCTCTGGGTGGGGATCTAGAGCACTCCCCGGGCAGCTCCACAGGTCTCCCCCCACCCAGGCCAGCATGGAGCCCAGCCGGGGAGCCGCGGTGGACCTTCCACCTGCCCGCAGTGCACGGGGGAGGGGTTTTAGAGCAGCCCAGGCCATGTCCCCACCCCCAAGGCTCCTCACCCGGCCGAGGGCAGGTGGAGGGTCCGTGACTCTGCGTGGGCTCCCACAGCTGCCCACAGGTCTCCCCGACCAGGCTCCAGCAGTGGGGATGCCTTGGAGCTTCAGCCTAGTCCCCAGTGTAGAGCCCTGCACATCTGCAGATATCTGCATCCACAGATACCTGCATCCACAGATACATTTGTGTATCAGCGCAGGGCTCTAGTGATCTTGACTTCTTTTCCTTTTAAGAACTTAGAAAATTAAAGTTATGTGCTTTTTCAGTTGAAAATCTTATAACTGCAGCAGGAGAACTCAGAGAGAACACTGGAAACAGACTGATCCGACAGACCCGGCAGTGTTAGATGTTACAGATGTGTCCAAAAGCTATATCCTGAGTTAAATTTCCTTTCTGTTCTGAGACAGCTTGCTGAAAGAACAGCAGTTAGCACATGTACTAGGAATATGTCCCATACGTAGACAGTAAAGACACTTCCCATGAGTGCCTCTGGCTGGCATTCCAACATTACAGGAGGGGCACGTTTTAAAATCAAGAAGCTATGTTGGCTACTAAATCTATCACAGGATACTAGCACCTAACAATGTTAAAACTATCTTAAAATACTCTCACTAAAATACTAAAAAAGAACTAACCTAAAGCTGACTAAAACAAAAACTATTTACAACACATGAAACTACGCGAGTTTAAAACAGGATTACTGGGATTGCTGAAGTGTTCCATCTCTGGCCCAATGCTGTCAGTGGAGGGAACAGTGACAGTTGGTCTGCACTGCACCTTTATGTCCTCCAGAGAAGTGGGGAGATTCCATGAGCATGGGCAGACTGAGAGGGGACAGCTAACAAGAAAAAAAGTTTGATCTCTGGTGCTGGGGGGCACGCAATACCCATGAATCGAAGACATATAGACAACCACTTGATGAAGAACCACCTTTCCCTAAGTAAATTATGCCACTTTCAGTTCCTTTCTGCTCATTAAGTGGCTAGGCTACTCAGTCAAATCTACATCTAAATATTGTCCTAGAAGTATCCTAGCCTAAATGTGAAACTTATGTCACTATCAGAGACAACAGGAAATGGAGTGTGAAAGACAGACTTTTTATTTTGGCGCTGATATTTTTGGAAACAGATTTTTTTTTTTATGAGGTACGGTTACTGAAGGCACTAGCAAACCATAAGTTTAGGACATTGGAAAATTCTCAGAATCGGGATCACTGTGAACAAATGAAAGTTTTTGTTTGTTTGTTTTAAATAGATTCTGTATTAGTCCAATATGTATCAGAATTTTACTTTAAACTAGTACTCTTCATAAAATAGGGAGTTAGGAAGAACTCCTTTTTCACATAAAAGCTGTTACATCCTCTCCTAATATACTAGTTTTTCTACATAGAATCTGTATCTACACGAAGTGGAGATCATTAAAAAAAACAAACAAAAACATTAAAAGTTCCAGGAAAGCATATCAATTAACAGTTGCCAGAAACCACACTGAAAACAGTACCACTATCTTGAATTAATACATCTTCAATATCTGATATTTAAAATAACTTATTCCGAAGTCACTCTTAAGATAATTTTAAATGTTTGTTCATCAAAATGGTATGTATTTTAATTTCCAACTTAATTTAATGCACCTTCTAGATGTTACACAGATCATGTGTAAGATGACAAAAAGCACATCTGTAGCATTTAACACTACCACCACAAAAGAAACAAAACCAAAAAAATTAAAGGCACATTTCCTGCTGACTGGAAGGAAGGAAGAAAGAAAGGTAAATATATCTTTATGTACACTTGATAATTTTAATGATGGGTTCGGTAGAACTTAGAAAACAGTTTTAAAAGTTCTGTGTTTCTATACCACTTTCTATCTAAGGATCACAAATCACTACACAAAAAGTGAGCAAGAACTACCCTGATTTTACAGGTGGAAAACGAAGGCACATATATTAAGCACTAGTCTCACTCAGAAAGCCCATCAATAGCTTTAGAACAAAAATAAGCTACAATATCTGTACTGGAAGAAAGGGTATAAGCCTCTTCTTTATCTGGGGAACTAAAAATTATCAGAGAATGAGATAACATACTTTGTCATACTTATACATTTGATGTACAACATGCACATATCCCACCTTCAGAATACACAACATAAATGATATATCTATACTGTAATCATAGAGTACAAGTGCAGCTCAAGTAGACATACCTGAGCTAGCTTTAATCTACTTAACTTGGGTACCAGAAGAGTGAAGCTACAGCAGTGTGTGCTTCAGCACAGGCTACACAAGCCTACTCAGAACCCTGGGGAATTACTTGTCGGGCTAGCCCACACAGAAGTGTGAGATACTACAGCTTCACTGCTCCAGTACCCAAGATACCTGAGCCAGTTGTAATCTAGCTATGTTTACTTGAGCTGCAATCACACCCTGTGACTGCAGTACAGACATACCCAAAAGCACATTAATAAAGATTTGTTTGTAGTAATTCAGATAACCTGTGACTTTCAGAACCACCTTAGAATCAAACAATAATAGTATTAGAAGTCTCATCAAGGTCTATATGCTGACAATCTTTCATTCTCAGAAGACACTTACCATATGTATCATAAGGATCCACATTAGGGCTAGGCATATTCCACCACTGGATGGTTGCATCAATGCCACCACTAAAACACTGTTCTCCGTTAGAACTAATTGCCAATGACAATACAGGTCCACTGTTAAAAGAAAAAAAAAAATTATTTTACTACTGGCTAAAGTATAGAGCAGAAATGAAAATTGTAAAAGCATGTGTTTAAAAAACACAAGACAACTGAAAACCATTGCATTCATTTTTCTCTGCAAAGTTTAATTTCTAATGAAATAGTAAAATGATTCTATTAAGATTTTTTTTTGCAACTTTATTAATGGTGCTTGAAAACAATGGCATAAAAACCTCACACTTCCCAGAAATAATCTTACCTACAAGTCTTTCTATTAAGATTCAATGTATTACATAAAATTCTATGGGAAACAGAATGGTTGAAGTTGGTGAAGAGAGCTAATAACTGATGACATCAAGAAAGCTGCAATGTTAATGTCTATTTTGCTTCAGTCTTCATTAAAAAGGTTAAGGGTGACCAGATACTCAATTAACAACAACAAAGGGGAAGGAATGAAAGCCAAAAGAGGGAAACAGGTTAAAGATTATTTAGATAAGTTAGATGTATACAAGTCGACAGGGTCAGATGAAATTCATCCTCTGGTACTTAAGGGACTAGGCTAAAGCAATCTTGGAACTGTTAGCAATTATCTTCAAGAACTTGTGGAGGGTAGGTGAGGTCCCAGAGGACTGCAGAAGGGCAAGCATAATACCAATCTTTTAAAAAGAGGAACAAAGAGGACCCAGGGAATTACTGGCCAGTCAGCCTAACTTCAATACCTGGTAAAATACTGGAACAAATTAAACAATCAATTTGCAAGCTCCCAAAGGAGCTTATAAGAAATAGCCAGGATGGATTTGTCAAAAATAAACCATGCCAAACCAACTTAATTTCCTTCTCTGACAGGGTTACTGCTCTGGCAGAAAGGGGAACAGTAGATGTGACAGATCTTAATTTAAGTGAGACTTTTGACACCAAATGACATTCTAATAAGCAAACTAAGGAAATGTGGTCTAGATGAAATTACTATAAGGTAGGTGGCACAACTGGTTGAAATGCATAACTACAAAACAGGGAATAACTGGCTAGTTGGTAGTACTTCTGAAAATCTGGGGGTTATAGAGAATCACAAACTGAATACGAGTCAACAACAATGTGATGCAGTTGCAAAAAAGGCTAGTATTTTGGGGTGCATTAACAGGTGTGTCATTCACGAGACACAGGAGATAACTGTTCCCCTCTACTCAGCAGTGGTGAGCCCTCGGCTGGCATACTGTGTCTGGTTTTGGGAACTACACTTTAGGAAAGATGTAGAGAGAGAGTCCAGAGGAGAGTAACAAAAGACAAAAAGTTTAGAAAACCTGACCTATGAGAAAAAGTTAAAAAAACTGGTAATGTTTAAGTCATGAGAAAAGAAGACTGAGGAGGGACTTGATAACAGTCTTCAAATATGTTAAAGGCTGTTATAAAGAAGATGGTGATAAATTGTGCTCCATATCCATTGAAGGCAGGACAAGTAGTAATGGATGTAATCTGCAGCAAGGGAGATTTAGGTTAGATATTAGGAAAAACTTTCAAACAAGGGTAGTTAAGTTCTGGAATAGGCTTCCAAAGGAGATTGTGGTATCCCCATCATTGGAAGTTTTCAAAAACAGGTTGGACAAACACCTGTCATGGATGCTCTAGGTTTACTTGGTGCTGCCTCAGCGCAGGGGGCCGGACTTGATTACTTCCAAAGGTGCCTTCCAGCCCTACAATTCTGTGATTCTATGATCCTATAAGGGAAAATGTTGGCTGCCACCACCACACAGACCAGGAAGCTTCACTTCACTTCTTGGCAGAGTCCCCACCTGCCGCCCATTATGTTGGAGGAAGAATTAACGCCATCTGTTACAATCCTTCCAGGGCCAGGAAAGGGGGGGAGTGGGGAGCAGGGCCCTGCCTGCACACTGTGGCAAGAAATGAAGGCAGGAGCAGGGAGCTGGGCCAGCCCCACAGGACAGGAGCCACCACTGTGGGATGAGTGCGAGGTGGACTTGCTCTGTAACATGCCCCCTCCCCCCGGGGACAGAATGCAACCCTCCTACATGGTCATCGCCCCCCCGCCCCCATTTTCAAAAAGTGCACCCATGATTTTACACACCATTTCCTCCTAAACCCATAATTTCTACTACATTTATCATGACTTTTTTGTGACTTTCGATTAAAAAAAATGCTATGACACATCTGAAGCCCTATACAGAGTCTCTAGATTATTTCAGACACAGAAATGCTGCAGGACCCAGACACAAATGTAGTTTCAGTTTTAATTTTGGATTATCTTGTCCATCAGTTTAGGCAATAACATTTATAATAGTGCAATAGGTTTACTGCATTTACTGTTTTGAGATTTGGGATAAACACTGGGAAAAAAAAAAAAGACTGCATCCATTACAGCCACTTTTGAAGAGTAACTGACTGTCATAAAATAATAAAAATAAAAAAATCCACAAGCTATCTAGAAATCCCCCCAATTTTTTTCTCCTTTAAAAAAACAAACCAAACCAAAAATCACAGAACAGGGCATATACCGGAAACAATGACAACTATCCATAACAGTATGCCATCTACCTTTCTGTACAGATATTCAGGGGTTCCCAAACTTCACTGTACCATAGGCCCCTTCTTACAACAAAAATTACTACGCGACCCTAAGAGGGGGGACCGAAGCCTGAGCCCCATTGCCCAGGCCCTGTCACTCATGGCGGAAGCCCTGAGGCTTTGGCTCTGGACCCCAACAAGTCTAATGCCAGCCCTGGCAACCCCATTAAAATGGGATCATGACCCGCTTTAGGGTCCCGACCTACAGTTCGAGAACAGCTGAAATATATTATAGAGATTTGCAAGATCTCATCTGCTGAGTTCCTCAGAATGTTACTCCTGGGGCAATTCTGTGTCACTGTGCAGGAGCAGAATTCATGTCATCTGCAGATTTCTTTGTTTCCCCGCAGAAAAATGACTTCTATGGGGAAGCAAAGGGAAGCCGAAAGAACAGTCACTCGCTCCTCCCCAGCAGCCTGTACAGCCAGAGGAGATGTCAATCATCACTGGAGGACATGGGCGGGCTGAGCAGGCGTGGAAGTGAGTGAACGAGAGAGACTGTCCCTCTTAAGCTTACAAGAAGTGGAAGATTGGACAAATGACCAGGAGGAGTATAAAAATATCGCTCAGGCATGCAAGAGTGAAATCAGGAAGGCCAAATCGCACTTGGAGTTGCAGCTAGCAAGAGATGTTAAGAGTAACAAGAAGGGTTTCTTCAGGTATGTTAGCAACAAGAAGAAAGTCAAGGAAAGTGTGGGCCCCTTACTGAATGAGGGAGACAACCTAGTGACAGAGGATGTGGAAAAATCTATATACTCAATGCTTTTTTTGCCTCTGTCTTCACAAACAAGGTCAGCTCCCAGACTGCTGCACTGGGCAGCACAGTATAGGGAGGAGGTGACCAGCCCTCTGTGGAGAAAGAAGTGGTTCCGGACTATTTAGAAAAACTGGACGAGCACAAGTCCATGGGGCCGGATGCGCTGCATCCGAGGGTGCTAATGGAGTTGGCGGATGTGATTGCAGAGCCATTGGACATTATCTTTGAAAACTCATGGCGACTGGGGGAGGTCCCGGATGACTGCAAAAAAGGCTAATGTAGTCCCCATCTTTAAAAAAGGGAAGGAAGAGGATTCGGGGAACTACAGGCCAGTCAGCCTCACCTCAGTCCCCGGAAAAATCATGGAGCAGGTCCTCAATGAATCCATTCTGAAGCACTTAGAGGAGAGGAAAGTGATCAGGAACAGTCAGCATGGATTCACCAAGGGCAAGTCATGCCTGACTACCCTAATTGCCTTCTATGAGGAGATAACTGGCTCTGTGGATGAGGGGAAAGCAGTGGATGTGTTATTCCTTGACTTTAGCAAAGCTTTTGATACGGTCTCCCACAGTATTCTTGCCGCCAAGTTAAAGAAGTATGGGCTGGATGAATGGACTATAAGGTGGATAGAAAGCTGGCTAGATCGTCGGGCTCAGTGGGTAGTGATCAATGGCTCCATGTCTAGTTGGCAGCCGATATTAGTGCCCCAAGGGTCGGTCCTGGGGCCAGTTTTGTTCAATATCTTCATTAATGATCTGGAGGATGGCGGGGACTGCACTCTCAGCAAGTTTGCAGATGACACTAAACTGGGAGGAGTGGTAGATACGCTGGAGGGTAGGGATAGGATACAGAGGGACCTAGACAAATTAGAGGATTGGGCCAAAAGAAACCTGATGAGGTTCAACAAGGACAAGTGCAGAGTCCTGCACTTAGGATGGAAGAATCCCATTCACTGTTACAGACCTGGGACCGAATGGCTAGGAAGCAGTTCTGCAGAAAAGGACCTAGGGGTTACAGTGGACGAGAAGCTGGATATGAGTCGACAGCGTGCCCTTGTTGCCAAGAAGGCTAATGGCATTTTGGGCTGTATAAGTAGGGACATTGCCAGCAGATCGAGGGACGTGATCGTTCCCCTCTATTCGACATTGGTGAGGCCTCACCTGGAGTACTGTGTCCAGTTTTGGGCCCCACACTACAAGAAGGATGTGGAAAAATTGGAGAGAGTCCAGCGGAGGGCAACAAAAATGATTAGGGGTCTGGAGCACATGACTTATGAGGAGAGGCTGAGGGAACTGGGATTGTTTAGTCTGCAGAAGAGAAGAATGAGGGGGGATTTTGATAGCTGCTTTCAACTACCTGAAAGGGGGTTCCAAAGAGAATGGATCTAGACTGTTCTCGGTGGTACCAGATGACAAAACAAGGAGTAATGGTCTCAAGTTGCAGTGGGGGAGGTTTAGGTTGGATATTAAGAAAAACTTTTTCACTAGGAGGGTGGTGAAGCACTGGAATGGGTTACCTAGGGAGGTGGTGGAACCTCCTTCCTTGGAGGTTTTTAAGGTCAGGCGTGACAAAGCTCTGGCTGGGATGATTTAGTTGGGGATTGGTCCTGATTTGAGCAGGGGGTTGGACTAGATGACCTCCTGAGGTCCCTTCCAACCCTGATATTCTATGATTCTATGACTAATAACTAGAAATAAAGGGTCAAACCTAGCTACATTACTTTAGACAAAGGGGGTTTGGGGATTTTCTCCCATGCTCCCCAGTTCCATTCTCCATCCATTGTATTGTAGTTTAAATAAATTATCAAAAATAATTGAAACTGGCATGTTTATATTGCATTATTTTGACAAATATAATATGCACAATTTTGCAGAATTTTAAAATATTGTGCGCAGAATTTTTTATTTTTTGGCACAGAATTCCACCAAGATTAGAATGTGCCTAAGCAGTTATGACCCCTGCAATTCTCACACGAACAATTGTACTTGTCAGATCTAGCACAGGACCAGGTCCTGGGGCTGCAGGCTTGCCTCCTTTGTGGGTTGGCATGGGATTAGGAGATTTATTTTACCACCTAAATTATTCTGTCAGAGGGAAGGATAATCCATAAATATTTCTGGATGGGAAAGAAGCATATGCCATTTTCAGAAGCAGAAAGTTTTCCACACCTTCACCTCAGAGTGTTACTTTGGAGCTTGTAGTTGCTGGATGTGGGACTGGTTATTCTTGACTGCCATACCCAAGAGAAAGGAATTTCCCCTCAGTGCATCAATGCCATGCTGTGTTATTTTGTTTTGCCTTCCTCTAGTTTATTCTGCTCAGTCAGAAGCCAGGGTTAGTTGATTGCGTCTCAGGTAGCTGTGCAACAGTTCAGTGATCTGACAGTCATTTACCATCAGCAACTTTTTTATAAATGCTGGATGAGCTGCTTTACAGAGCAGCTGACAGGTTGCACTGGCCTTATTTTGTTCAAGTGAGTTTATTGTCAGAACTTGATGGACAAGAATCCCTTCTGGGGTAAACCAGTTTGCACTAGCCCCTCTTCCCAAAACTTGGATTGCGATATGGGAAGTGGGAATAGGTTTTATGATGCATCTCAGATGAGACACCCATCCAAACACAAAAATAGGTAAACTCAAGACCCATGGGAAAGGTGGTCTGGTTTGGCATTGCAGATCTTCTGGCTGAAGTCATGACCAGGCTTTTATCATAATTCATCTTGATTAATTCAACTCTCCCCCAACTGGACTTCCTGGCATTTGCTTCACTCCCAACCGCTATCTTATTCAGAACTCTGTTGTGAAAACATCAGCCTCAACTGGTACCTATGTCCAAACTAACCCACCTGAGATCCCTTTCATAAACTCTGTTGCCTTTGGCACTGAATTTGGATCAGTCATTCTCACTTTCAAGGCCCTACGCAATTTAGATCCTTCCAACATCTATGCTTGGTCTCGTTGTTCTTCTTCACCCCATCCACTCTATTCACTCAACCCATGCCTGCCCTCTGTATCCTTTTCCAAGCTTCCTTCCTAAATCCATCTACTAAACCTCCACCCTCACCTCCTATGCTTCTTCTCAAAATCCATTTAAAGCAGACTTTACATATTGTATAAAAAACCCGGCAGTCTTCATTACAGCACAATTTCAGTGTCTTCTTCCACATCCTCTGTCCCTTCCCCTTAAGCCTTCTACATTTGTTATCCCCTGTGGTCGTTTTTGTTCTTTTATCTTGACAGTGCACTCCTCAGGACAGAGACAGTTTTTACTCGCTTTATAAACAATTATGCACATCTTTGGCACCATGCATAAATAATGTTAATAAAATTGTGATCTTTAAGCCTAAACATTTTACTGAATCCATAATAGGTGGCAATGGCTGCTTCTGAAGTATTAACTGGCAAACACTTACATGTGGGCCCTAAACGTGTAGATAGGTTCTACATCTAAAGAGGCACTCCTGAAAAAAAACCAAAAAAACAGAAAGGTGATTATACTAAACTATCTGTTAAAATGTTGTTATTAAATTGAATGTAATGAAAAAAAGATTTGAGAGAGACAACTTATCAGACAACAACATATACAACAAACTTTAAAAAAGAAAACCACCATATACTTGCTTTTTGGCAGGAACTGTTTTCTGTAAGTTCCAAAGTTTTAAAGTGTGGTCCTCAGAGGCTGTAACCAGCACAGGCTCTACAGGATGAAAAGCTAATGTTCGCACTCCATCAAAATGGCTGCGTAGCGTATACTTAGGATTCCATGTCTTCCGAAAGGCATCTTTATTGGCTGGCAGCTAGAAACCAAAACAAACAAAAATATCTATGTAGTAACTTTAGTGATCTTATATATAAAATTATATACTGTATGTTAGTGTTTGAAGACTGAAGTGTTTAGGACATGGATTTAAATAAGTACTATTTTGCTGGAGATACAAAAAATTCAAGCACCCATTGCTAGCTCTGCAGCACCAAACAAAATTTTGAGAGCTGTATCAATAATATTGAGATAAAACCAAGGAGTCTGCAAAAAAGGCACGGGAATTTATTAAAGATATCCTATTTGCCAAATGGTTTCTAATTTCTGGCATGTTTTTAAAAGTTTACTAACAAGTGAGAAACAAAATATAAAATGCCACTGGACTAGTTTTCCAGTGAACCAGTATCCATCACAATCCTTCATGTTTATAGGCTACAGAACTAAAGAGACAACCAATATTTGTGTACAAACCAACCAATGTAAAGATATTGGGATTTCATATGGTATCTGGGGGAAAATTATTTAGTATCTCCTTTTTAGCTTTTATGATCCATCTTTCCAGAAAGGTATTCAGGATACCAAATCAAATCTCTATTTAGATAAATACCATCTAAACCTGCAAGAGCAAGTTTTTCTTCTGTTGTAATTGTAGCTTTTGTCTCAGCTCTAAATAGAAAAAAGTCTATATATAACAAATACAGGATTAATATTATTCCCAATCTTTCTAGGGCCACACAGACTAGAATACAACAATTATTACTGTTTAATATTGAGTTTAGTACTTTATGCATCAATTTTGTATCTTGTAAAAAGCCATACCAGTTAAGAGACAAGAATACTTATTGACTCTGACAACAGTAGCAAGCGGTAAAAGCATCTTTTCTAAAAATCTTGAAAGGGACTCAATTTTTTTTTTTAAACTCCAACACAGCATTTTTGATGTCCTGTCGGAAATACACTTTTAAAATACTACTCAAATCTACTGTTATACTAGAGTCTTCATTTTAAAATCTGAAAAATGATTCTTAGTTTTCTCTTTTCCTCTTCAGTGAGATTTTTCCTACTCCAAGAAAGCCTTAAATATTGCTGACATTTGCTGTATATAATTGTTGTCAGACTGGATGATCTATTGCCTATGTTATGCGGGAGATAAGGTTAGATTATCATAACCATCCCTTCTGATTTTAACATCTATTCCATGAGAAAATTTAACTGTAATTTCTGTCAGAAAATACTATAATGTCCAAGGTCATAAATAGAATTTTAATAAAAACCAAACTACTTTTAGAGAAATAAAATTAAAAGGAGAAAAATTCAAAAGAATACGAGATATTATTTTCCCGTTTTAAAACTTCAAATCCATTTTATACACTGCAGTTGTACAATATAATGAACTATAATTTTGTTCAATTCTTTTAGATAATATGTAGAGTATGTAAAAATCTATCAGTCCCTCAAAGAAAAACAGAATCCAAAGAAAGAAAAGAGCTGGACAATCAGGGCCTGATCCTGCATAGTAAAGAGGGTATCTTGAAAGGTGATTAACATTCAGCTCTCCTCACAATCAGGCACTTAATTAGCTAGTAGCTAACAACTGTATTAAATTCCATTAATAGCTGGACTGGATTCAGATTATGTTTATGCAAATGTAAAATCTAAATCTTCTATATAGAGTTTTATTTTGAATTGTTTCTCTCTATTATCAAATTAGCTACCATTCCTCCAACAACACGGTCTATACTATTCATCTAGGCTTTTATGAAAAACAAAAATTTTACTGATCTTCATTCAAAACTGTAGTGACCCCAGAAATGCAACATATAAATGTATATAAGTTTTATGTAGGCTGTCAAGTGCAGATGCCTTAGAAATCATGGGGGTGGGTAAACGGCCTGCTCATTATGTCTCACTCAGTATAGTCCATTCAACATGTAAATCATAAAAACAGCTCTAGAGATACAAGATATAAGGAAAGTATTATAATTTCTATTTGTATATTTTTCAATGTAACATGCACTAGATGGTGTCACTCAGGGCTAGCTATCTTGTGGGCAACTATTATACTTCCAGCATGCCAAACTGTAACTCACACATCCTAAAAGTTAATTATGCCACTAACATAGGCATATTAAAATGCTAAATCCTTTATCATCATTCAGTATTTTAAAGAGGTCTGAAAGTAATGAATAAAGTAAAGTTTGTTATAGTGCCTTTTCTTGGACCAAATCCTTATTCTAAACTGATTTACGACTCCCACTCAACCTTCCCTTGGGCCTTTCAAGATTGGAAAAAATCACATACACTAGCCTAAAGAGCTATTGGGGGCTAGAAACACAGCTTCCTAATATGAATAGATTTCAGTTTAACAAGAACACATTATGTCAAATTATCCATATCAAGTAATGCATTTATTACAAGGCTTACAAATGCAGACTTATAACACAAAATTCCATATTCCAATACCATACAAACACCACATTTCATAATATTAACCTTTTCATTTCCAATTATCCCCTTCCATAATAAAAATATTACATTTAGTACATTGAGATGTAGCTACTTTGAAAACTACAGGGAGGAAAGATATGCTTGGTGTTAAGAGACTGGACTGGGATCAAGGAGATCTGGGTTCCATTTCTCTCTCTCCACATGTCCTGTACAACCTTGGGAAAGTCATCTAACCTCTGAACCTCAGTTCCCATCTGTAAAATGAGACTACTACTTCCTTTCTCCCATCTTTTCTCTCTTTAGCTTTTAAGTCCTTCATGAGTGGGACTGTTTCTTACAATATGTTTGCTCAATCGCTAGCACAACTGGGCTCAACCATGACTGGAGCCACTAGGTGCTATTGTAATACAAATAAAATAATATACATATATGCAAAACACGACATTAAAATGATACAATTTCAAAGTGAATAAATCATAATTTACAAAGTGCCAGAATTAAGGTTGGTCATGAAACCTTAAATCCTCTCCCATATGTATGCATAATAATATCATCTTTGATTACATGATCTCATACTACTTTTCCACACACACCCTTTTGCATTCAGGAAGGGAAGTGTTTAGTGAACAAGAGAGCTGCTCAATATTTTTTAACCACATTATTCAATGTATAGACCCATGTCTTATTTACTGCACACCATCAGAATTAAGCACTAAATACAAAATTATTAGTGTCTAAATGCCTTACAAAATTGGGCCTCAATTGTCTCAGATTGGACACCCAGGAAATAACACAATTAATGGTCATGTCACAGGAAGTTTGTGATAGCACCAAGGACAGAACCCAGTTTTCCAGGGTCATAGTAGAAGGTCTCAAACACAAGGGCATTCTATTTCTTCCTGCTGCCCCCTGCCTCAATCACTGTACACCATCCAATTTCTGCCTCAAATGAGGCAGTGAACTTGTAAATTCTCATGAACTATACGACTCCAAGTCATTCTCTGAAGACTGGTCATGCTATCCACTAAATAAGTGGAATATATAGTATGTAGTCATGTGATTAAAGATAGTCTCATAACATATACGCAAAAGAGGGAAGAATTGAGGTCAGATATGCAATGACATTTTTTAATCTTGAGTTCCTGACTTTGCAACCCTAATAACTTGCTTTTGATATAAAATGTAATTTCCTAGCTTCTTTAAAAAAGAGGAAAAAATAAATTTGTGTACGATACCCTACAAGTCTAGATATGTGAAGCAAACAGCTTATTTTAATTTCATTTTTTCTGTTAATGAAATCTTGTTTCATTAGTTAAGATGACTGTTGTATGTGTAACTTCACACAGATGTCCCCAAAGAAGTGAGAACACTAACTTCTAAAGAGAGGTATGAAAGGGTAAAAGTTTTTGGAACTTACAACCCCCAAATCAGTGCTGGTCAAGGGGTTAAGACAGAGGAATCCACTCAATGAATTGTGTTGACATCAGGCTGCAATGCAGTGAATGCAGTGGAAGAAACCAAAAGACCAAGGAGAGGATGAGCTGACAGAGGTATGGGGTCACAGCAGCCTTTGTTCAATGCATGGCACAGTACGCAGCACTGAGATCATAGCTGAGAGCAGAGCACAAGGTGTGCTCAGAGCACGTACCAAACATGCAGTGCTGCAGCTGGGGTCGGGAGCTAAGAGCTGTACATGGCACAGGCTCACGAGTGCTGCAACTATGGGGAGAGGGATGAAAACTCTGAAAGCTGCCATGGGTAGGCCTGGAACTCTTGATGCATGGGTGTAGCTCAGATTCAATTACCATAGCACATCACCTTTAGCCACCCAGCTTCTGTAACAACATAGCCTCTGGCTTCACAAGAGCCCTAGCCTTGCTGCACATACATTTCACTCTCACTGGACCATCAGTTTAGCTCACTAATCTAGTTGTAAAGTTAACTGTCAATAACTTTTTCAATAATGCATCCTCAAAGGGGCAGTAGGTGCCATTCACTAGCTGAGATAAATCTAGAGCAGTGAGATCAGTTTGGAAGGATTAGAGTCAATTTGAGCTGCAGGTGAGCACACTTTGCTTGACTGTCCCTCGCCAATGTGATGGCAACTAAGTTGATCTTCTTGAGGATAAGGTAGTGTGATAAGTACTCCAAAAGTGACTCAGAAAGGGAGCTTCATTAGGTTTGCAGAGATAAGTGAAATTCTTACAGAGGATGGCTTTTTGACTGGTGGGCCAAGCATGGAGCAGCCCTTTCAAAAATCCGGATACCGTAGGATGTGAGAAGATTGAACAGGACTGGGCGGATGGGTGACGAAGAGATTGCTGATAAAATGAAGCTGAAAAAAAGACCTAGTCTTTTAAACACAGGATCTTTAGTAAAGGAGACTCCATTGGATACAGGTTATTTTGGGTCACTGAAATTGAGAATCTTTTTCATTTACAGGAATACGTTTTCCGTGTGGAAGCCTTCCTGCTTTGCAGGAGGATCTCTTGCACTTGTAGGCAGCAGTCTTTGTCAGCAGCACTGAACCAACAAAGATCCAGGTTGTCAGATGCAGTGACTTCAAAGTCTGGATTAAGTAACTGACCTTAGTTCTGCAATACTGTGTCCTGACAGTTGGAAGCAGAATGAGAGGCTGAATAGACATCCAAAGAAAGTCTGTTAGGCAGAATAATCTCAGCCAGCATGGCTATTAGGATTACTTTGTCTTTGTCCAGTCTGATTTTGCATATTAACCCGGGAATCAGGGTAATGGGTGGGAAAACATATGCAAGTCCTGGGGTACACAGTAGGTGGAAGGAGTCTTGAAGGGAGCCAGGGCTTATGTTTCCCCTGGAAAGAAAGGTTGGAGATTTTGTGATGTCCTTAGACTTTTTTGCCTCCATTACAGAATTTCACCATCATTGGAATATTAGATCTATGAAAGGCCTCTTTAGCAACCATTTGGTTATGTATTGTCTACTTAGGAAGTTGCTGACTCCTGGGAGGTGGATAGCTATCAAGGTTTCCCCACAACACTGACATCATGTCCATAGCTTAACATCCTCTTGATGCAGGTGAGACAAGTGGACACTCCCTTGTTTACGTAACACATTGCAGCTGTGTTAGAATCTGCATGGTGGATTTTGTAGAATACTATACAAACTAGCCTGATTCCTCTTAGTTCCAATACATTTGTCCTTTGTATCTGGAGGTGGCTCAGGTGGGCTCCCCAACATGTGCCTCATGTACCCATGAGAAGTATCTCCAACAGAAGAAAGTTAAACAGCACCACCCTCTTTGAACTTTTCTGGGGTCTAACCACCAATTCAGTGTTGCAGGACCACAACTTTCCTGTGCAAGGGCTTATTTTAAACTTTGGATATGAGGCTTGTTAGAGTCATAAACCTGTCCACTAGGCAGCAAGCTCTGGATGTTGTCCAAGCCTATCAATCTCTGAATTGACAGAAGGGTCTCTATTAGGAGATGTAGAACTCATCTTCTTTGCAGCCTTGTTAGTACCTTCCATGCTTTCATCCTATGAAGATGCTGGTGAGTGGGGTATGGAGGACAACAAGGCACCAATTTCCCATCTGTAAAATGGGAGTAATAGGTAGAACACCCTAAAGTCTGAGCTAAGGCTTAATCAAAACACTGAGATCCTAAAATGGGACCTTGGGATGAAAGCACTCATTTTTATTAACATAGTTCTGTGCTAAAATCCTCCAATAGCTAAGGATAAACAAAGTTTGAAGAACTATGACAAAAGTTTAAAAATAATGAAAAATTAGAGTCAGTAAATTGTAACTTTTCCATTCAATTTTAAGTAATCAAATCTAGTAGGTTAAGAATATTGGTTTTTCTCAATCTCTGTGCTTGCAACTTCAGAATGTTCAAAGCTTTAAAGTTAATGAACTACTTTTCCTCAAAACCTGTTTTATGGATTTCACTGAAACTTTACAAAATTAAAACCAAATCTAAATTGAGTGTGTTGTAGCTTACAGTAAGATATTACATAAAAACTCCAGGTTGCTTCATATTATCTGTAGTGTACTGAATTTGATAAATTTAGAGTTATACAAAAACATAATATATTAAGGCCTAAAAATAAATTTAAATTCTCTGATTTCAACTTCATCTCTCCATTTAAAACTTGTTTTTTCTAACTTTTTCGTGCTTGATTTCTCAGTGTTAATGCTGAATTAAAACTATTTCATAAATAATTCAGTTCTTTAAAGGTAACAAAAACTGTATATTATCTAATGTAGTAAAACCTCTAAAGCTTAGAACTCCTGTAATGTGTTTGTAAAAAAACTTTTTTTCCAAAACTGCTTAATACCTTTTTATTTTTCGTAGAACGGGATGCTATAATTAGTCTTTTATAATCCAAATATTAGAAGTGTGAACAATTAATGTTTGTCATTTTAGGAAGAAAAAATATCCATCACTAAATCCTGAAATATGGTAGAATATATTGAAATATTTGATAGAATTCAGGTTCTTCAGTGATACTGAAGAAAAACTGATTTTTTTTTTTTTAAACCAAGATGTACACTTCTAACACTTATGGCACTTAAAGACCCTAGGGTATATTATAAACACAGTTTTCATTTCATAAATGTGCATAAAATGCAATGTGTTTTTTAAGAAAACTACTGACAGTATTTTCCCAAGAGAAGTATTTACATACATCTTAACATTCAAAAATGAAAGCAGACTGTATAATCCAGAAAAAGTTATAGAAATAACTAAAGCATGAAAATGTCTTATTCGTCTAAAACACAATGCAACACTATTTAAAATATACCTCAACGTGTGAAGACTTCCTGGACAAATGGATGCACACGAACAATCTCCCACCCCACCCCACCATTACTAGCCAGTACAAACTCCATATTAAAAATGTTACCATGGGCAGTAATTTTGTGCACAGTGGAAAAAAAAAAAAATGTAGGAGACTCTGCAGTACGATAAAATAAAAGAATATTCCACACTTGTAAATCTAAAATTCACACTACAAAAAAAAGCTATTACACACTACTATATATACACACATTTTATACATAAAAATAGCAAACATTTAGAAATTTAAGTTACTAGCAATATATGGGTTTAGCTCCAACTTTTTAGTGTTCAGTTTCTGGGCAATTCCCATTTTTGTTTAAAATAATTCACCTAAAATCTTGTTTGGAAAACATGTTACTTAAGTAAAAAACAAAACAAAAAAATTAAAATATGAATTACAAATTCATTAAAAAACTAATATTTCAATTTGATTTCACAAGCTGTTTTGCTAGTTTATGAGGTGTTTCTTTCTACAAAAATGAAGCTTTTGCCTCTAAAATAAGCTGTCCTATAAATTTGAAATATTCTGAAAAATTGACTATCATTGATTATATTCAACCGTATAAGGAATTTTAAAATAAAATTTCACTTACATCATAACTATAGTCTGCATCATTTGTTACTGTCAAGTCTGCAAGGTCTCCAAGGCCCAGTACACTTAACAAAACATCATCAGAACCCATAATAAATGACTTGCCTCCTCCAGATGAAAACGTTATTGGCTCCGCTACAAAGAACAAAACAGTTTAAGTTTTGAGAAAAAACCTCAAATTTACAATATGAAAAAACTGCATCAGTCATCACTTAAAGGCACAGCAGTGTATAAGAGCTGAACTGTTAACAACTAGATATAAATCATGGTAAAATCTCCTCCTCCTAGTGGAAAAGAAAACATGAGCATATACATACATACATACATACATTTGAAAATAATTCTCTAAATTTAAAGCTATTAAGGCAATAAACATTTACCTCCATAAGCAAGTATTTTTTAGCACTCATAATTCCCCATGAAGGACCATCCTCCACCACACATATACAGACAGGGTTTTAAAACACAAGAACCTACAACATTTGCAATTACCGAGTTCTGCATTTGACTGTATCAACAATGTTTGGATAAAGTTTAAAAATAGACAACTGATATTCATGTTAGCTAGCTGCATGTTCCTTAAAACATTTGAAGCTTTACACATTTTTCCTGTTGATTATCATTTAATACTAAACAATGCAGCTTTTGAACAAATGTTAATTTTCAATTCAGGCTTGAATCATCTTCTCCAGCATTCATTCACACTCTTTACTCTTCAGTATCATCTATGACTCCCCACTGCTTCCTCACAAAAAAATCAATTTGTTTGCAAGGTATTTGAATAAGGATTTACACACACACCTTCTAGAAAAAAATCTGCCTTACTGAAAGGTGTGGGTGGGGGTCTATTTTATTTTTTGGTATTACTTTCCAAAGAACAAAATTAGGACACCTGATGAGGGAAAATATATTCCTGATTTAAACTTTCCAGATAAAATTGCATTTGTGCGAGAGCGCAAGCCATTTCTTGTGTTAATTTTGGGCCAAAACTACTTGACAATGTCCCTTAGTAGTATTCATTTTTGCCAATATTTCATTAGAAACCTCGCATATGCAAAGGGTCAAGTAATTGCATACTAACACAATCAGATTTATTTTCCCAAAGAGTCATACTTCCGATAAGTAAAATGTGCTAAATTATTTTCAGTGTGTACGGATGTATGTGTTTCCTTACAAGATTAAACATTATTCTTAGTTTAGTCACCCACCCGAATTATACCAACTCAATTTCCCAATATTGATGTTCCAGCAGAAGTACTGGGATAGAGCAATAAAGAACAGAAGAAAGAGATCCATTATGTTCTACATGAAATGTGAATTAAGATGACATGACAAAAGTTCTACGGAGAAACACAACCTGCAAAATCTTCACTAAAAGAAATTTAAAGAATTAGGATTGTTCACTGAAGTGCATGTTCTGCCTACCCCCTACAAGGAACAAGGAATATAGGAGGGGAAAGGCAAAGGGCAAGTAAAAGCCCCGAAGAGCCTTTCTCCCATTGCTGAGCCTACATAAGAAGAATTCAAAAATTCCAGTCCCTCATAGTCCAGCGTCTGCTCCCTTACTACTCCCCTTGGGGCAAAGTCATGGCACCATGAATAGAACTGTTCAGTTACAATTCAAGTAGTAAGCTGCACCCCATAAGAGGTTGTAGTAAGAGGAACATACCCTCTCCGCACCTGGGAATTGTAGGAGATATCCTGCTTCCCAAATGTACAATGCATCTCAGAGCAATCTTTGGGACAGTGTATCTCTCACTATCAAGAGAAATTCAGAACTCCCGCCCCTAAATCTACAGCAACTATACTCAGCCTCATCTGTATTTGAAACTTCAAAAAAGGTGAACAAAAAGTTTAGAAGTTGGAAACTAAATTTTCCAAAAGCAAAATTTTAGTTCTAACATGAAACTCTGTTCTAAATTTATCATTTTAAATTTGGGGCTTTTTTTATTTAAGCAACATTTTTAATTATGAAAAGTGTTTTTTAAAATATGGTCAAAAGTTTTAATAAAAATAAATGGCAACCAAGTAATAAAAATGAAAGACACACGAACTTACAACTATCAAAACAGGTGAACAAACTTTGAATAGCAAAAACATTTTTTTCCCCTTGCAATGGACCTACCTGAAATATTCCAAAGAAACAATATATAATTAACATTGATGAACTACTGTTTAAAGATTAAGGATTTTTAGGAATTAAGGTTACCAGAGTTATTTGCTCATGCAGTATAGACCTGTATAGTTGTTATTATCCTCCAATTTAAATACAAGTGTGTTCTGGTGAAGTCATTGTCTATCATATTCATACCAATTACAAGTTATGATCTAGTATAATATTTATTATGGCAGAGACTGAGTAAAAGGATGCACAGCCATCCTTGCACTCAAACTTGTTAACATTATGCATAAACAAATGAAATCCAGCCAATACCCTAAGGATTAAATATTGCACTATAAATACATAATCAGATGTGCTTGTAACTGACTAGTCCAATCACAAAAACCTTCCCTCTTAGTCTATTCTTTAATCAAACATTTATCATCCAGGGGTTATTATTTATAATTATCACAACAGCAGCCAACATTATGTACGGTATACAAATAAGTATTATCAGTCAATTAACACTATTTGCCTAAAAAGGCAACCGTAAAAAAAAAAAAAAAATCTGCATAGCTACTCATGTACCCGAAGAGAAGGCTTAGAAAGCAACCATGCTTTGAGTAAGACCACAATGGAGGACCGCAGGACTATACCAATGGACTAACCTGTTTTCAGAAGTTTAAGTGCAGGATTATTAGAAGATGTAGCTGGTTCAGTGTGGTTTTTAGTGGAAGACTGACAAATGTATGTGTTACATTTTATGGTTTTTTCAAGTGTATTAGTCTATGACAAGAAGAACAGGAGTACTTGTGGTACTCCTGTTCTTCTTGCGGATACAGACTAACACGGCTGCTACTCTGAAGTCTATGACAAGTTTCAGTTTGCATCAATGTAACTAGCTGTGTTGAGATAAAAACATTAAAATAGTTGAAATGTGGTTGGAAATATTTTAAAACAGGATAATTGTTTATATTTCATCTTATGAAGCACAGGGAAAAAAACCACCTGTGCACAATCACATCCAAACCTCTTTGTATCAGAGCTCACACACCAAAGGTACCATGAAACCTATGTGAGCCTGAATAGCGTTCTGGTTATTGGCATGCAAACGAAAGTGCCAAGCACTCCTTTTCTTTCAGAATTCTGGTTTCCAATGTGACATTACATTGTACTGCAGCAAAGGATTACACAGGCCATTTGTGTAACCAGAGACGTATTATGGCTTACTGCAACTCAATAGTTGAGCTACTGTGGCCTGGTAAGGAGGATTATAGTGGATGTCCTAAATCAAAACTGCTTGAAATAGTTAGATGAAATAAAATCACTGGGAAGTATTATGCTGTTCAGATACAATTGTCATTTATGGCTCAATTCTTTTTTATTCATGATAATGAAATATGTCTTTCTCATTCAATTTATTAAAGCAGCAGAACATGGACAGAAGGAATACAATGAAGATTTGCATTTTGTTCTGGAGCTTCTACAAACGAGATGTCTAACCTATCTACTACTACTGACTTCATACCATCTGGTGTAGACATAGATTATGAAATATTTGTTCAATATTGTCAAAGGCCCACTAATAAACAACTAGTAGAGAGAGAGAGAAAATTTAAATTTTAAAACTCTGTTTTAAAAAAAGTCACAGGAAGGTAAGGAAAAAAAATAAGACACATGGGATTACTGTTATGTTCACACTACAGCTCTTACCTACAGAAGTATATGAAGAACAGCAAAACAAATTGATGGGCTGGAAAATACGCTCACATAACAAAATGGCAAATAGTGTGAAATGGCAAGAAGTGTGAAATAGTGAGACACCTTCTTTCAGAATGATTTGTGCACATACTGAGTGCAGACAATTTTTAATCATCCAAAGCATGTGGTGGTATAACGTTTCCCTGAGAAGACCACTCACCCACCTCCACCCGTCCACTCAGATTCATGTGAACTATGTAACAAAACATTTTGAAAAGGCATGGAAATGGAAGTATTGGTTTTTATGGTCCAATATTTTAACCAGATTACAGTCCTGTATTTTAGAATGAATCAATGACTCCTAAAACACAAGAATAAAAATCCAAGCAAGAAACATGCCTTGCTTTATGATGATGATTCCAGGGTTCACAGTTGAGATTAGGCATATGTAGTCCTCTCTCTAGAATACTGCAGAGTTTCTGGATAAAGATGCAATAGATGGCACCCCAAACAATGGGAACTATGGCCCCAAATGACTGAAAGAAATCTTTCCTCAAATTCTGATTTGCTCTCTTTCTTTCTTTCTGTCTTTCCAAACATTATTCTGAGTTTTGTAATTCATCTTGCTACAGCTATGAAGTCCTCAATTTGACAGAATCACATCCTGTCCTAACAGCAGAGGAGTGCTGCATTCCTCTGTGCCTCATCTAGGTTTGGAGCAGGTAGTTTGACGACAGTGCAGAAGAGGTGACCTATAGGCAGATCGGAGGGAATTGCGGGAGTTCAGAAATCCCTACAGGTATACACAGCAAAAATCTCTCATAAGGGAGGGAGGCAGCAGGCAATGCAGAGGAGACACGGATCCCCTGCCAGGGCACTCCATGCTTTTAGCGATACAGCGTGCTGCGATGTGGCCACAACTGTTGCAATATGCACAGGTACAAGTGGCACAGTGTGACTGCAACCCACCAAAATAGTTTTTCCGGTGCGCTATACAGGTAAGTCTTGCACTAGTGCAACGTGTGTGTGTAGACAAGCCCTAAGACTATGTCCAATTTTATTTTTAACAGATTACTGTGAAATAAAAGGACAATTTCTTACTGACACTGGAAAATATATGGACACTGGAGGCTGTGCTTGACTGACGCAAAGTGACAGACTGATATTTTTATATTGTGATAAATCTCATCACTTTTGGGGAAGTTATGACAACATTGGGGCTAGAAGCTATTCAAAGCCCTGAAGATTGGAATTTGCAATAAATACTTCAATACATTTTGTGAGAAAAACAGATTATAATTTTAGTTTATAACATAACTGTGTGACCTTCGGCATGAGACTAACACTGAAGTAAGCAGCATTCGTACAGATGCTGTATTAATCTAAATAACTCAAGTTGTTAAAAAATATAGATGCACAAAATATTGTAACCAACTCCCTCCACATGTTTAACTAGTTTAAGTCAACTTCCCAGTGCCTTTCTTGCAGTAGGTGGGATGAAAGTGATAGTTCAACTGCATCTGGAGCTAATGGTTGGTTAAGGATAGGATAGATCAAAAGTAGCTAATTAAAAAAAGTACTCTAACTATATAAGCATTAATAATAATTTGAAGGTAGAGAGCCAAATTCATCCTTTGTAATTACTTAACTACTTTTAAGTACCTATTTTTATTTCACCTTTCAATACAAATTGAGTATCAAACTTACAATCAACACTTTTTATACTAAGTTTTATAACGTAACATCCAGATAAGATTACTTTAAAAAGGGATTCTGCAACAAGGGACTTAAGAGTTGACAAAGACAGAACCAAGGCAGTTTCACATAAAATTGAAGGAAAAAAAAAAAAAAAAAAAAAACACTTGACATGTAAAGTTCTGATTTATATTTCTCTGAGACACAAAAGCTTCAAGTGGTAGTCGTGCAAAAAACCCCAAACTTGTGTGAACAGACTTGTAAGCAGTGTTGATGTCCTATTATTGACAACTGTAACAGCATTAAGTGTGAGGGGATAAGTGATAGCGTGTGTTTAAATTAAAACCTTCTAAAATATAATAAGTAGCTGAATTTTTTTGTACCTTCCTCTGCTCTTGAACCTTCATCAGTCATTCTAGAAGAGGGTGACCTAGATTGATTAATGATTCCTGAAGGGATGTGGGGTAGCTCATCATCGCCCAGATCAGCTATCATGTCGTGAAGTTTTGTCCTGTTGACCCCTGTAAATTAATGTCAGCAGCAAAGGTTCATTTGATTGCTACCGCTTGACTTGACAGCAGTCAATAAATCCAGTTTCCTAATTAAACAAGAAAGATTACTAATGGAACCTCCTTAAAGAATAAAGACATTGGTTATTATTTTCGATTATGATGCTTTAACTGTTATATAGTGTTCTTTTGGAAATTTTGAAAACCAGTTAAACACTGAATCTGAAAATTATATGTAAGTGGTTTTTATCCACCAAGTCAAAAAAATTGATTAGAACTGTCTTGTTCATTTGTAGTACAGCTTTATATTCTGCTGTGGAAAAGAAAGAATCCAGCACCTCAAGTCCCTATGAAAAACCAAATATGTAACAGTTATAGAAAGTAACCTTTAAACAAAATACATATGAACTAAACATTTGCAGTATTAACTACACTACATGAATTAACACAGAAAATCTCAAGTACAAACAGAAAGTTACCTTACAAAGGAAAGAAGAAGTAGAGATGACTTGTAACGGGGGTGCAACAAACAATTAACTTTCCCTGTTTGTTTGTTTTTAAAATAGCATTTTAAATGATGCTTTGTGCAAAATTTTTATTAAGCCCGATCATGATTAGTTAGGGCCACATTCAAAATAGACTTACATATGTCTACAATTAAGTTTCTAATTTTAAAAAGTCTGATTTGAAATTGTCACTGGCATTTCTATCTGTAGAGGATATAGTGCTGATAAATATGTACGACCTTACATAGTACAGTCCTGCATTAAGGATGGTTTAAAAAAAAAAAAAAAAAACTGCTACATTCACATCCAATATACAGGTAAAGAAAAAAGGCAGAAAATAATTTGCAAAAAGCACAAATTTTCAAAGTTTAATTTTATGTTAGCCCATTTGAAAAGAGATACAATGATATAAGGAAAAATGGACCTCTGCCAACAAATATCAGACAAAAAGGAAAACTAATAACTTTAAAGGTTCTACAAGCAGAACATTTCAGATAAAAAGTAGTCCTGGGTTAAAACTAGTCAACATATTCAGAAGTTTCTGTCTCTTATCAAAATATATTATTTATTTCTCCCTGCACAGATGCATATTCTCAACTGGATGTGAAGTCTGGCACTCACATATCACTGTAACACTAGTTAGAAATACACTGTGATCTCTTCCCAGATCACCAAGCGGCAGATAGTGGTAAGTTGCACAGTGGGATAGCTAACCACGGTGCACTGCTCTCTCTGTCAATGCAAGAGCACCAACCATGGATGCACTGCGCAGTAACAAAGGGCAGTGTGTGGATGTACAAAAGAGGTTTAATTACAGTGGTGAACAATCGTCGATGTAACTTTGTAGTGTAGACATAGCCTTAGTTTTCAATAGAACCAAAAATTATATCTTGGTGTGGTCACAGATGATAAACACTCTCCTGCTTTGAGTAGTATATGCAGGTAAAGACGAAATTTGCCAAAACCAGTGCTTCCAATAGCACTTCATCTATACCCTCAGATTTTAGACTTCTACTTTGATAGAAAAAAGTCAATTAGACAAAAACAAAATACCCACCGTTAAATTAAGTTAGGTTTAATTCTGCTGGAGACAAGGTAACCGATTTAACAATGAAATACAGTATTTTTATATAAGCTGAAAGACGTAGTTAATGATAGCAAAAGGGGTAACAGGAAAGCTAGGTTAGTTATAAGTAAACGAAGCTGCTTCAGTTAATAGCCCAGATAATGCCAATTTTCTTCTTCTTTTTTTTTTTTTTTTTTTTTTTTAATCTAGTGCACTTTCACGTGTACAAACCTGGGAGCAATCCTTTTCTCAGCAGATTGTAGATGGGGCACAAGCATTGACAAATGTTTCAAAACTTAAGTATGGTACTGCTTGTGCCCCCTTCAGTTTCAACTAATTCTGTTCAAGAAGACAACCTAAAAACAAACAGGAAAAGGGGAACTTTGTGCCAGTGTTAAACGCCTAACACAATGCTACTCACAAACTAGCTTAAATTTTCTTCTTCCTTAACTCATTTGCACAATTTCATATTCTTATTGACTTGCATGCAGTAATGCTTATGGTGATGGACAAGATATTCTTAGTTAAGACAGAAAAACAGCCTTACCCGACCGAGTGCTCTATCTAGTCTTGGACAATAGAATGGTAAATCCCTTTAACTTTTTCCTCATTTGTAAGTGAAAGTAATTGAGACAAAAGTGAGATATTGGAAGTGTGGAAACTTCAAAAGACTATTCTATCAAGGCAAACCAGATGCCATAGGCATGGGGATTATTCACAAATGTTTGTATAAATGTTACATATATTTTTCTAAGTTAGGGATTGTATTCAGCTTCATGGGAAGGGTTACCAAACTTATTCCAGGAACTAAAACGGGGGGTAATTACTGCAAATCCCAGGACAGGTAAAAAACTCCAGACAACTACCACCTCTCTCCACCCCCCCCACGGGGGAGATTGCATATACTGGTTCAGACTGGGATCAACAGGCTCAGCAGACAAAGTAAGGGCTTTTGGCATAAAGTGGCAGTGTGAACTAACTCAGACCCTCATTTTGATCTAAGAAAAGACATGATAGGGTTACAGAGGGAAAAGCTCTATTAGAAAATCTGAAGGACTGGAACCTGCCAATGTCTCCACGTGGAAGACAGAACCTTGTAAGCTTAACATGCATGCAGATTTTTTGTTGTTTTAGGATTTTTCCCCCTGTAATACTATTGTCCTAAAATAAGCATACTGTGCTTTGTGAAAGCTCACTGGTTACTGGTACACGCTGTCATTTTCCCTCGTGACAGAGAATTTCAGGAGCGGGACTGAAGTCAGACCTATTGGCATAAACACCGTGAATTTCAGGGGCACTGCAAGCCTAAATCTCTGGTCACAGGTGCCCACTCAGAGAGGTGATAGTTGGAGGCCTTACACCTAACAGGGGGACCCTGAATGAGACAATTGAAGGGGCAGAGGTGCAGTTAACCCCAGAACTGTGACAATAATATTTACCAAACTCAGAGGGGTGTTGGGACTCTAAATTCTTTAATATTTGCAAAGCACTTGGAGCTGCCCAGATGGAAGGTGGTACATAAAAACACAAGAACATGTGTAGGTTGTTCTAGATTGTACTCCAACAAGCCTATGAAACCTGACACAGAAAGGTTGTTTAAGAATGGAAGTGACTTGGTCAGGCTTCTCTGAATGTAAGCAAGCAGGCAAACATTGGTTAAGTTCAGTCCAGTACTCTCATGCACAAGGTTCACATGCACACGAGACTGGAAAGTATAGTCTCAAACTAATGAAGAGTGTGAAATAATTTGATACACCTTCACTGGATAAAACTACAAACTAAGAGTTGAAAGTGTCATATCTAAATATGTTCAACCTAAAAAAAAAGAAAAACTGCTTCACCTTGAAAAAGGTGACAATGAAAAAAAATAAAACAGCTTATTAAGTCAATGAATGATTAATACGAAAATAAGATCACCGGAATTTTAGGAAAATGGTAATATGTAACCAAAGCCTACAACTCATTAACTTGCTTTGTGAAAGCAATTGTTAGCAGGAATTTAGTACCCTCCTTTAAATGTATGAAAAGCAGGGCTTCAGCCTCCGCCGCCCCCCCCCCCCCCCCCAAAAAAAAAAAAAAAAAAGTGAATGAGAAAAAGACAACAAGCACAGATTTAGTGAGAAGAATATGGCCCTTTATCTACTTTTCAGCTGAGATGTCAAAGTTATCATTAGTAAATACCTCAGGTCAAGGGCACAGGATATGCGACAATTTAACCCCCCCAGCTTTCATATAACTTGAAATCTGTCCCACACCTCTATGGAAGTAATATCTTACAAGAAAAGGCTTTTTAGAAATAATGATTTTTGTACTTTGACTTTCCTACTCTTCCAGTCAACAGGAAAACAGCGCACAGGAAAAAATGAGTCACAGGTGAGTATCCTGTCTCTGACAATGAACTTTTGGGAAATACAAGTATAAGGCAAAGAAGACACCCCAACATCCTGCATCTAGGAAGTAAACGGACAGTGTGTTTACACTCATGAAAATGGGATCTCAGCTAACCTTGGTTGGAAATACTGAAAAGGACTCTGGGTAAGTAACTTCTTTGGACAGGAGGTTAACCTTAGTCTCTAGAAGGCATTATGATTTTGTTTAATATGTAACCTTTTGTTTCCAATATCCTTACTGTCTATCACTTAAATCTTGAATTTTTAATAAACCAACCCTTGTTTTTCAGTATAAATATATTTAAGTGTTCTGATATTAAGCAAGGTGCTGATCCTGAGCTGAATCATATGAATCAGCTCAGGTGCTGATAGTGAGCAGTGTTTGTTTAAATATGCTTTTTTGAAGTCCCATTATCTGCTGCTTTCACTCCTTCCTTTCCTTAGAATCATGAAATCTATCATTTCATGATCACGTTCACCAAAATTGCCTCCCACTTCCAGATTTGCTATACAATTTCTCCCTGTTGGTCAGAATCAAGTCTAAAATGGCTGTCCCCCTGGTTACTTTCTCCACTTTTCTGGAACAAAAAGTTATCCCCAGTAAAGTTTTAGAATGTACTTGAAATTTAGTATTTTGCTATGTTATTTTTCCAAGAGATGTCTGGATAGTTGAAGTCCACCATTATTACCAGGTCTCATGTTTGGGATATTTCTGCTATTTGTTCTAGAAATGCCTCATCCACCTCCTCTTCCTGGTTTGGTGAACTAGAGTAGACCCCTACCATGTCATCATCCCCATTTTTTACCCCTTTTATCTTTACCCACAGACTCAGTTGGTCTTCCTCCCACCTCCTTCTGGACCTCAGAAGGAGTGAACATACTCTTGATGTATAAGACAACACCTCATCCCTTTTAACTCTGCCTGCCCTTCCTGAACAAGCTATTCCTATCCCTCTATACTAATATTCCAGTAACAAGACTTATCCCACCTAGTCTCTGTGATGCCAATTAAGTAATAATTTAGTTTATGTACTAATACTTCCCATTCTTCCTGTTCATTCTCCAGACTCCTTGCATTTGTGTATAGACAGCTAAGATGTTGAGCAGTTTCCCCTCTTGTTGCTCCCACGACCCTATTGTAAGTTTCCATGTCACACCCCAACAGTCCTCGGTTAAGTGACCTTGGGTAAGGTCACTTCTTTTTAATATACTTAACTGTGGGCTTTTGTCACCCGTCCCCTTTGAAACTAATTTAAAGTCCTCCTCACTACACTGCTCTTTCCCTTCGTGGTTAGGTGGACCCCGTATCTTCCCAGCAGACCTTCTTGGGGCTTTGAAAAGCTGCAGCCCCTGACATGTTCCACAACAGTTAATATATCCCCACAGCAAAATGTGTAATCCTCTGTTCTCACTGTTTCTCTGAGCTACTCACTTCATGAGCATGAGAAAGCAGAATCTGATGGGGGTGGGGGTGGGGGTCGAGGGTAAGCTTGTGCATTTAAAGCAAAACTTTAATCCAAGTACAAATTCAACAGCATTCAAAGCCTACCATTCAATCATTATATATATAATCCAAATTTAAGAAAAGGTAACTACATCACATTCAGTTTATTCTTTTTAGAAACCGAAAGATACCAGTGCGTTTATGAATTTTATTGTCACTATGGGTTGTACACAGCCTGAAAAAAAAGAGTTCTGAAAGTTAAAAAGGGATCCAAATTACCAGGGACAAATTTTCAAAGGCATGCCTCCACTTTAGTACTCAAAAATAAATTTTTAAACCTATTTCCAAAATAGTTCATGCAAGGCTGGTAATTGCCTAACTGGTTGTTTACATGCTAAATTCAGGTGCACATTTGTGTATACCTGTTTACTACTTTTAGTTTGGCTCCAGTTAGGTATTCTTACCCTTTTTTTTTTTTATATAGTTAAGTAACCTCTGACCTTGACAAAATTACAACTTATTACATAAACAAGTCATGCAAAACTTTAAAAACAAACATGCACAAACTAAATTATAATTAAGTGACATTAGAGCTCACACACAAAGCAGAATAGCATTAAGTATTTGAACATTTAAAGTAATTTAACATTTAAATAAAAAAGCCCTTCCTTTATATTTAAAATCTATTAGCTCAAACTATTTAGCTTAACAAAGAGAAAGTGACTTGATTACAGTCTAAGTACCCAAATGGGGAACAAATATTTAATAATGGGCTCTTCAAATTACCAGAGAAAGTTACAATCCAATCCAATGGCAAGAAGTTGAAGCTAGATAAATTCAGACTGGAAATAAGGCATACATTTTTAATGGTGAGAGTAATCAGCCATTGGAACAATTTACCAGAGGTCATGGTGGATTCTCCATCACTGACATTTTTTAAATCAAGATTGGATGTGTGTCTAAAAGATATGCTCTAGGAATTATTTGGGGGGAAGTTCTATGATCTGTGTTATACAGCACATCAGACATTGTCCCTCTGGCTTTGCAATCTATAAATCTAAGAACATATGTTAGAAAATAATGTACAGTCTAATTTAAGTATATATTTAGCACTTACACAGAGCTTATAGTGCTTCACAAAAATGTTTGAACTCACATGTAAAATTACTTTGGACCAAATATAGCTCTGAATTAAAACAGTGTAAAAACATTGCACTCAATGGAGTTACTCCAAAATTACACCAGTGCAACTCAAATACTAATGTTGCTCTTTGTCTATATAAGCTTTATAAAACAAATTGAATTCTATATACTGTAGCATTATGTATCTAATTTTACAATTCATAATATTAAAATCTGGAGTTCTAAATACTTTACATATTTTTAAGTGGAAGCCTTATTCATCAGTCATTTAATCTGACAGAATTTAATCCTTTCTTCTTTCCTAATGGCAGTATTTTTCTTTAGAATGTCAGAGGATGTTAACTGCATGGCAGAATGAATGTCAACATCAAGGCAAAAATATATTGTAGAGTAATCCACAAAAATGTTTGCTTTCCCTTACATGAAAGGCATATTTTTCATTCTCATGCTGCCTTCTAGCAGACACAAATATAGGCCCAACAATGTAACTGAATCGTGATTCAAAGCAAGGTTCAAGAAAGAAGTCAGTTCAAGAATCTTTTTCTTTTACAATTGGAGAAATTTAGCCTACTTTGTTAAAGTTCAGGAAAAGGCGAGACAGCATTCCCAGAACCAATACTGTTCAAAATCTATCACTGTACTTAGATTTCAAGGTAGTTACTTCTCTTTTCCTATTTAACCCTAGATTTTTATGTTTATAAGTGTTTTCACATTTCTATTCTCACAAGTGGCACAAGGTATTTCTTGTATGATCAGATTTAGCAGATAGAAAGTTAAAGTTGGTTGCCCCCATCAAGGAAAACAATACTTAATGCAAAAACAAAAACAGAATTTGCAGAAGGAAAAAAAAAAAAAAACTGTTTTCCAAATGGATAAAAAGAATTGCATTTCAAGATTCAGAATCTGCACTTACTCTTTACCCCTTTCTTCCCCTTTCGTTCCTTCTTGTACTGTTCCTTCAGTTTACTTATTAGTCCCTGGTCTACATCCCAAACCTCAGCAGTTGGGGACAGGTCATCTTTGTCTACATGCAGCATATTATTAAAAGAAAAAAAATCAGCAGTTGGCAATGCAAGCTGTTGGTGATTGACTGTTATAGCTCAACATAATCATGAATAAAAATTTCTTAGGTTATACTTGAAAATATTTTAAAGGTGCAGTCTCAGTTTTGCCAGTTACAGTTTACAAAGTATTAATCCCATTCTATACAGTTTTCACTAAACTATTTACTATAATTACATCTGAATATTATTTTATGCTAATTTTTGTTACCAATGAGAAAACAATTTGAGTTTTTTCTTTAAATAGCTGTTCGTGTTGAATAATAGATAGACACTACTAAATACACAAAGGTATCTAACGTACTTAAGATTACTGCATCTTTAGAAAGCCAGTGTTAGGAATTATTCAGCCAGCTTGGAATAAGCAAATAAATATATTTCATGCTGTACACCTCATGAAAGTGCAAGCTGAGTATGTCAGTGTCATTTTGTTCATGAAAAAAACCAACATGCATCCTCTCACACGCTAATCCTACATGCACAAGATAGGGCTTTACCAATTAAAGGGCATGATGCATAAATGTTACCAGAAAGACACACACAATTTCACATACAACATTTTATATGAAGGTTAATAAAGAACATTCACAAAAGTGAAGACGGTTTGACATCCTCATTCTGATCTTTAATTACAATTAGTAGAAACCCAAGACTCCATTATATATATTTTTTAAAGCTCATCATTTCTTTTTTGAAACAACACAGCAAATTTGTATCAGCTAAATAAAAGGAAACCCCTGCTATTGTTAACCAACCATCACAAATCCCTATTTAGTTGGAAATCTGATTAGGAAAAGAAAGAAAAATTACTGCTAAGTTAAAGTAAATGTAATTTTGAAATAAGGACTTTTACATAAAGTAAAGTTGAAAAAATTATGTAAAACAAAAGGCAAATGAACTTGGCCTGCATTTTTCTTAAATCTTGTGTGTTCTCCTTTATTATTGAAGGTATTCTGGTTAAAACAATTTTCTCTCCCACAAAACCAAGCAGGATTTGGGGGGCGGCGCTAATTCTTGTAATTAATCATGTTTATATCAGTGTCTCCACAGAATGATTCTGATGTCACAAATTCATCATCTCATTTTTGGGTTAGATGAATGTTCAAAAGCAGCAGTACACGGTAGAGGTAGGACAGAGTACTTGCTTAAAAAAACCCTATCTTTAATAAATACGTCACAAATTTTCAAAGGTTTCCTCAACATTAAAGTCCTCAAGTTACACATAATACAGGGACAACATTTGGGGACTTGACATTTAGGATTTTACAAAATATTTTTTAAAACAGAAGACCAGTAAATTGTTAATCATTCTACATACAACCAATTCCCTGCACTGTTTTTTGTAATCAAAATATTACAGGCTAGCACTGAAATAGTGCAGAAAATCTTGACAGTTAAAGTAACTAGTTAATTAGTCGGTCCTGATTTGACCAGAAAGGATAGTCTTTTGGTTAAGATACCAAACTTGGACTCATAAAATGTGGGTTCTGTTCATGCCTCTGTCCAGATTTCCACAGGTGGCAAATTTAATCTGAGTCTCAGTTTACCTTTTATAAATAGAGAATAGCTCCTTAACTCACAGGGATGGGATATATTCATGCATGTACCTGTGGTATTTAGATATTATAGTGATATGCCCCTTAAGAATCTTATAAATGTGTTTTGCACATTTACTTTCTCCATTTCTCTCTGACTGGACAAAACAAATGTTTGGTAGATTTTTATTATCCTTACAGAAAATCTGTGGAAATATTTTAATCTGACATTCTCCATCCCTTTGAAGGCTGTGTAAATTTATTTTTCTTCTTTAATATAGTTTGAATTTTCTCATCTTTCATGGTTTTGAAGGTCAGCCGTTAGCAAAATTTGTTGCATGAAAGGCGGCTGCAAACCCCAATATGCGATAACTATAAGACTAAACACATAAATAAAAGGAAACAATGTTTGCAAATATGTAAGTATGTTCATGAAAAACTGCTACAGGGAGATGAAGCCAGTGGCTGGTTTTCAGTAGTCTCCTTTGAGAAAGATATAACTTGAATATAGCTGCCAACTTGTTGATCACATGTCAAAAGCTACAGATCTTTGCAGTTAATCTATACTGAGAATTATAAAAATAATTAAAAGTAACTAAGTAAGTTAGTTAAAATGTCCACTCAAAACTGGAGTGGCAGCAAAGCAAGACCTGGTCGTAGGTCTGGAGACCTGCACACAGGAAACAAGTTAGAAATCTGAGAAAGCAGTACAATAAAGAAATAAGTTTTATTCACTAGAAATTAATTTACATACATAGGGCATAGAAACAACTGGATTTGTACATGTCCAACTAATGAAACAAAAAATAAAGGAACAAAAAGAATAAACGAAGCTATGAGGGTAACAAATTAAAGCAGCAAGGAGGATGGGGATAAAAGTAAAATAAACAGCAAAAAAATTAAGGTTGCATAAAAACTAGGATGAAGAGGGATACAAGAGAAACAAATGGAACTGAGCTTCTGTAAAAGTCAAGTTAAACTTCATAATTTGACCCATATTCAGAATATAACCTATAAATATAATGTATAAATTAGCCTATTCTATATGCAAATGTAAGACGCTTAAAGGAAAAATAGGCAGAAGCATTTGTGCAAAGGAAAAGAATGATTTAAACAGGCAAAACTCAAATCTGCCTCAGATACGTGCTGAAGTAGGTTGTTTAGAAGAAATAGACAAGACAAGTAAAGGAAGAGATGGCATTGTTTTACATAATGCTAATATTTGGGAGGGAAAAAAACCCTTGGAATTCCTAGGAATCACTATGGACTCCCAACAGAATCACTCTGGAGATTGGGGAGGCTTCAGGGACTATTAGCTTAAAAAAAGGTCTAATAAGGTTATGCAAGGTATTTATAAGACTGAAAAATGTAAATCTGTTCATGGTAATTTATAGTCATAGACAGTACTAAAGTGGGACCACATTTGAAATACTGTATCCAATTCTGATACACCATGAGGAATTTAACCTTTATGACCTTTAACCTTTGTGCCAAATAAAACTAAGTTGAAATCTTGAATATTTTAAGACCACGAAAGAAAATGTATGTTTATTCAATCCCAAGAGCTCAGGATTTAATCAATCCTCAATTATTCCAGCTAAATAAAAAGGAACTGCATTGAAGTCAATGGAGTTATATTAGTATAAAACTGGTGTAATGTGCAACTGGAATCAACTCCAGCAAAGAAGAAAGTTTGCATACACAATTCGAAAGATACATATTAAGGAGAAAATTGTCTGAGGTAGCAATAGTCTGCCTACATCCAGTTTGAGGGGAAAGCAGATACTTGGATTAAAGGGAAGACTAAAGTTATAATCCTTATATAATGTTATGGGCAAAAACACTACAACAATGGAGTACCAAATTAGAATATCTTTAAAATACAGCACCGACAGAAACAGTGCACCAGTCACAACACTAATACAATATCTGAGATAAAAAAGCTGTAGTTCGAAGGCACAGCAAAAAGTTCCATAATGTACAACAGACTCCAATAATTTGATATACCTTAGTCCCATGTCAAAGTTAAAACGCTACATTCCAAGAAATTACACAGAATACTGACAATGTGCACTTGATGTTTGGTCTTTAGCTTTGTGCTGCAATAAAGGATCTGTTTTATCTTGGTATAAAATAATTAAAATGTACAACTTGCTCCATGTTTTTTTCTTAAATGTACCGTGTAGTCATGTATAATTACGTATTGATGTAAAACTGCAGACCATTAAGTTGGAATATCAGTTCAATACCTAGACAGACTACAGAAATTCAACAGTTTTAAGATTACTTCATATAAAGACATTTTATTTTCTCCTACTTAAAATAATGAGGGGTTTAGGTAGCTTGTCTCCTCAAGCAGCAACAATTCAGAATGCCCACCCAGTAAAGCACTTAGACCAACTAGATTAAATAAAATTCTAAATCTACCACTAAGGAGGCTAAGGAAATAAATCTGATAAGTTAATTGTTGTGTTTTGTTCTTTTAAAAATGCAGTGAATTTTAGTGTTTATGAAAAGAAAAGAACACACTAAAAATATGGCACATTAGACAAGTATCATGTAAACTTTCCCAAGCAGCCCCTATATTATATACCATAATTCTGCAAACCGTACCTCTAACACTGTTACTTTAGTCCTGGGCCTTACCTGAGCAAAGATTGTCAATCATGTTTAAGTGTGAGGTGGTTTTACCAACTAAAAACTACAGATAGCACATTCAATTAGGCAATAACTGATGGATATTTGGAGCCCCAATTAACCCCACTCTTCCTTACTCCCCATTTCTTTAAAAAAATAACCACACAAGTTTCAAACATCATTTTTTGAATGACATTTTTTGAGAGACATTTAGTGCTTTTTATATCACATGGAACTGTTTAGCAATCTTACTTCATTATCTAAATAAAATCTGAACTAGCAGTATAAAGATTACCAATTTTCTGATTTTATTAATAAAGACTATATTAGCAGTCAGCTTCTGAAAATTTGGACAAGAAATAATGTAATTATAGTTTTAATTTAATAATTCTTCTAGTCCATATAACAGAAATTAATTTAACTCAGGGCTCAACACAAATTAAAGCTCCAGACCATAACCAAATCTAAAATCTAGATTTGGCAAAAAGTTGATCCCAAAATCCAAAAGAAGGATTTTAGGGGTGATCAGGAATATAGACCAGGAGCAGCAAAAAATATGGAAGATGGAAAAACACCTCTCAACAGCAAAACAAAGACGCATTTGAAATAAATTAACCACAGACTAATTGTTAGCATTACGGTGTGTGAGGATAAAATTTGTAATACCCAATATCCTAGTTATCTCCTACTTTGCCAGCATCTAATCATCACAAACATCCACACATCCATTCTGTCTTAAACAGCACATATTATAGCTCATAAGTGTATTGTTATGAACAATGTTCAAATAGTGCTAAACATATGTTATTAGCTTCTTACCCCATTCTGTCCCATCCCCTGAACTTCTTGCTTCTCCAGCTCCTTCTCCATCTTCTGCTGTTACTAAAAAATCAAATTCTTTCAGAGCTTCTTCAGTATCAGGGTCATCTGTAAGGTCTGCAGCTAAACCTTCATTACCAATCTGCAAGTGGATAATAAAATATATATTCTGTGTTTTAAGAAGATTACGTCTATCACACAAGCAGACAAATTTTCTGCCAGTAAGAAGAAAGTCATCTAAAATATGAGTTAAGAATGGGACAGGTCATTTTAAAGAGGACTTTTTTTTTTTTGCAAGGGAAGAACATTTTGAAGTATGAAGTGCAGAAAGCAAAGTGCGTACAACTAGTCAGTGTTATTTCAGCTCCTCCAGAATTTAAACAAAAACCAAGCACCTGACAAGGCAGGATAAGAGGCTCACCTCAAGTCAAAGCTCTGATCTCCAGCTATTAAAGAAAAAGCAAGATACAATGCAGCAAGAGGGCCATCATGATGAAAAGTGCTTCAGTGACCAAAAAAGAACATCAAGCTCTCCATCGCAATCCAATCACGTAACCATACAATCACGTAAACTAATCCAACACTAACTAAATGACTAGTGAAAGTTTCAGGAAGAAACAGCAAAGTCCTATACAGGAGGAGCAACTTCACAAGAACATTAGGGATGGGAGGAAAAAAAATCTCCATCTGCGAAGCTGGTATAAAACCTGCATCTCCGATGGAATGTTCTCCCCAGCCCACCTTAAAGCATTTAGTTTCCTCTCCTTGCAAATAATCCCTGCTTTTCCAGAATTTCTTCAGGATACACCCTTTCTTACACAGCACCCTCCATTATATAGGCCCCACAAAACAAACAAATCACCACCAAACTGAGAAGCAGATGAGATTCTTGGGAGCTCATCACTGCAGCTCCATGATCAGATGAGAGTTCTTGCTAAATCAAGTAACCATCCCTAACAGGACAGAGTATACTGCCTTTGCATTACTCCTAGCTGGCTGACATAGTGAGACTGAGAATAGGAAATATACTTGGATCTACACAGAGAACACTACCACAAGGTCACCAAGCCAGTTATTAACATACAATTTTAAAAATGGCAAAAAGAGAGAAAGCTCTAAAAAGCTACGTCTGCGAGGAGGAATGAAATACAAAATTATTCCATCTCTAAGTGCCGGCAGGAAACCAAAAACAGAATAAGACTTTGGTAGCAATCTTAGTTATTGTACTCACATCTACTCACAAGGATGTTATGAGCACTAATTACCTCATGTTTAAAACATTTTGAAGATGAAAAAACACTATTATAAGGAGCTACACCAAAACGTGCTGATACCACATGTTCACTTACATATCATACAGATAAAGTAGGGTACCTATTTCAGCGTAATTTATTCATGTCTATTTGAAACATGGGCTTCCACCAGGCTATATTTTATAAGCACTGCTTTCAATATGTCAGATATACATGACCAAAAGGCAACAGTAAAAGCTCTTTACTTTGTGTTTTTTATTTATCCGATGCTTTTCTTTTCCTTCTGCAATATCTTCTATCATGTCATTCTCTTCTTCTTCATCACTATCATCTGCATTTTCTAAGAAATTAAATGTTTCAAGAACATCACCAGAGTTCCTACAAAAAAAAAACAAAACAGAACAAAACAAAAAGCCTACAGTGGTCAAATTTACTAGCTGACTTATAGTGAAGGGATTTAGGGGATTAAGTCAAATATAACTCTACTATCTAACTTTTAAAAGTTTTTAAAAAGTCAATAAAAAAAATTCCAGGAAAATTCTGTCCATCTAAATCTATGGGATGACTCAAAATTGAAAAGCACCACTAAACATGTATGGCAGAATTTAAAAACAATTCTTTATGTTAATAACACCAACTTAAATTATTAAAGCTGAAACAAAAATCTAATGTTCACATAATGCTTATTTACTTGTTCACAATTTACTTATTTTCACAGTACAAGCTGATATCTGAAAAATATGATTAGTGATGGTCAGTTATGCTTATAGACTCCTTATATGTTAATCAGTTTACTTTCAGGTTCTCGTGCACAGCTGCAATTTTTGGATGATATAACTGACTAACGTGCCACTGACCAGATAATTTTTTTTAGGACCTGAAGCTTATATGAGCCTAACCGGTTTCTCACTACTTGCATAACATAGCTGTCTGAATCTAATAAGTGAAATAGCATATTAATAATATAAGTAGGGTATGTTAGCCAACTATCAAGCATATCACAATTTTACATCTCTGCCTACCTTTTGATTTCCTGTCCCTTTTGCTTAGATGAAGGAGATTCACCTCCATTAAGGATCTGTTCTAAGTTCTTCGTCTCCACTGAGCCATTTGGTTCTGAACTGGAGAGCCCAAGTAAAGACCTTACCCTCTGGGACCGTACATCCAATATTGTGTCCGTGTAACCTACTTCCTGAAGATACCTAGGTTGGTTGTGAAAAGAGAAAGAAGAGAAAAAGACATTTATGAGAAAGAGAAAGGATCTAGGGTTCATTGCTGAAAAATAAAATAAAAAAATTAAATTGATAATACTAAAGAGGAGATGGGAAGCTAACGGAGTTTACCACATAATTTACCGAAAGGACCCCTTCCACCCAAAATCCAGGTGTTCCACCTGTGGTTTACTTCTCATTTCATTTCCCAGGGTTTAAAGCAGTGACACAGCCAAAGATTATCTCTGCTAGTACTGCTTCAAAGAAAAACACAGTCTATATAGTCTTGCATACTGAACCAATATTTACCCATCTTGACTACATGAATTTCCAAGGCAAAGTGCAAACATGTAAATAATTTCTAAAGCTCCAGAAGAAAAACGGACTACAAATATAGATACTCAACTATATTACTTACTGTCTTAATAATTGCCTGCCTTGCTTCCAGGTCAGTTGACTATTTTGAGGTACTGTAGGAACCTCTGTGTCTTTGGTTTCTTCTGAAATGCAAGGAGATACACATTAGTGTTGCTCATTTTACTCTGCCAATTTTAAAGACCACAGAGGGAAGTGAAGATTTCACTTAAACATTTTTAGACCCCACACAATTTTTCAGAGACCAGTGGTGTGTCATCTGCTTAATGAGCCTAACGCTAGATTCAGATGGTGTCCTTTACAAATCCACATTCCACAACCTCATTGATGATCAGCAGATCACCATTAAACAGTTATAAATGTTCTTGGAAGTGCTGAACTTGATTTAACCATTATCAAAAAGTCTCACATTGTTGCACATATTAGGACATTTGTACATACCACTTAGTCTTTTTTCTACCGTTAGCTTACAACATAAATTTTCTGGTACAAAGTTGATGAATTGCCATTATTCAGATAGCATCCCTTAAAGGCTATTCAAAGTAATGCCAACTATTTCATTTCATTTTTTACATTATAGCAGCTGACCTGCTCTGGCTAATGAACTCCCTTATTCCTTAGGGGATTTTAAATAGCTCTACACGGAGCATTTAAGAAAAAGATTCATTCTGATTCTCTATTCAAATATATTTAATGTCCATTAATTTAGTATAACAAAACTGGTTAGCAGAAACTTGATTTTTCTTGAAGATAGTTGTAAATTTTTTTTAACTTTAATAAATAAACAAGAAATCACTATTTTTTACTAATACTGTTTAAATAAATTCCATTAACTTATATGTGGGGAAAACTAAGCTAAACTGTCATGAATACAATATTAAGGAATGCCACCACTTTTACTCTCCAGCAGCAACTGACACCTTGAACCCATTCCACTTTAACAGGTGTTCTATTATATCAGCCTATAAATCATGGAGTAAAGAACTAAGAGGAATACTGATCTAGAGAGAATTCAGAAGTCAGACTTGTATGCCTTTTAGAGAAATGTTAAAAAATGAACACCAAGCCCATAACCTGGACAATATTTTATACTTTCAAGCAAGGAAGAAGTGCCTGAAGATGTGCCCATACTGAAAAAAAAGGGGAGAGAGAGAGAGAGACTGTCTAACCTGACACTTAAAGATTCATTGCCTAGATGACTTGTGGGTATAACTGCATTTCCAGTTAGTAGCAAAGAGGAAGGCCAAACTTTATTTATAACATAGCGTCCCAAAGAATTGAATTTCAAGGAGGGGCCAGACATGCAATAAAGGTCATCCTTACTTCTTAAACAGTCAAATTTAATCAAGGGAAAAATCTTCCTCTAGTTTCAGATCTATAAGACAATTTGTGGAAATGTTAGTTATAAGCAACATATTGCCTATGTTGTGAAGTTTACTGCACTCCATGTGCCAATGTGGGCACACAGATTTGCATCAGGGCATTTCCTCTTGATCTGACACAACCCTGTCCATTTTTTAAAAATATGTAAAAAAGTATGACTTTTCCAGGATAAAGCAAACACAAATTTTTATTATACAATAACAGAGAACAAAAACATGTCGAATTTTCTACATATATGTTTATTCTATTGTTCAATTTTCTCCCTAGTTATCTCAAAGAAGTTTATTTTGCCAAGTAAATAAAAGAGTGCAATATCCCAATAGACACTGTAAGAGCCTTCAAGGGCTGATGGTAGAAATAAGATATCAGACCAAAACCAAAAAAATTATTCATCTATTAAAACCTCTCTCAACATTTGGATCTTTCTGAAGGAGAGAAAGATAATGGAAGTAATAAAGGCTCAAATAAAACACTTGCCAAACACCAGTATATTCAGTAACACAGCTCCCTGGAACAAAACATCTGTTCTCAAAGAATTAAAAAATGGTTACCTAGCTTTCGTAACTGCTGTTCTTCGAGATGTGTTGCTCATGTCTATTCCATTCTAAGTGTGTGCACACCCATGCGCGTGGTCGTCAGATTTTTGCCTTAGCGGTATCCGTAAGGTCTGCAGTGGCGTCTCCTTGAGTGCCGTGTTCATGTGTCAGTATATCAGGCGCTACCGAACCTATGCCCTCTCAGTTCCTTCCTGCCAGCGACTCCAACAGAGGGGCAGGTGGGTGGGTAACGGAATGGACATGAGCAATGCATCTCAAAGAACAGGTACGAGTTTTTTTCTTTGAGTGCTTGCTCATGTAGATTCCATTCTTGGTCATTCACAAGCAGTGCCAATGGAGGTGAGCTCGGAGTTCACAGTTTTGCAAGCTTGCAGCACTGCCCCGCCAAAGCCAGCATCGTCCCGGGCCTGCTGGATCAGCACATAATGGAATGTAAACGTGTGGACAAATGACCAGGTAGCAGCTCTACAGATCTCTTGGATCAGCACCTGAGCCAAGAAGGCCGCTGATGACACCTGTGCTCTAGTCGAGCGCGCTTTGACTATCGTCGGTGGAGGCACACTTGAGAGCTCATTGCAGTATCAGATGGAGGCTGTGATCCAGGACGAAATCCTCTGAGCAGACACTGGGCAACCTTTCATCCAGTCTGCCACAGCAATGAAGAGTTGTGTTGACTTACTGAAAGGCCGTGTCCTGTTGATATAAAAGGCCAGTGCCCTCCGGATATCCAGGGAATGCAGCCTGTGCTCCTCTTTGTAACTATGTGGCTTTGGAAAGAAGACCGGTAAGAAAATGTCCTGGCCGGTATGAAACTGGGAAACTACCTTGGGCGGGAACGGTGGGTGCGGCCGCAATTGGACCATGTCTAGAACACCGTATAGGCGGGTCCGACGTAAGCTCCCTGAGCTCAGACACTCTGCGAGCGGACATAATTGCCACCAGGAATGCCACCTTCCAGGAGAGAGAAGGAGAAGAGAACAGAAAGCCAGAGGCTCAAATGGAGATCCCATGAGCCTCGACAGCACAAGGTTCAAATCCCTGGGAGGGACCGGATCCCGGGTAAAGATTCTCCAGACCTTTCAGGAATTGAGCTGTCATGTCGTGAGCAAAGATTGACCTGCCTTGGAACGGAAGGTGGAAAGTCGAAATAGCAGCCAGGTGGACCCTGACTGACGACAGTGACAAGCCTTGGAGCTTGAGGTGCAGGAGATAGATCACCTGCAGGGAGGCCTACTTGGCCCAGACACGCCGATCCAAGGCCCAGCACATAAGCCTTTTCCATTTTGCCCGATAGATCGCTCTGGTGGAGGGCTTTCTGCTACCCAGCAGGACCTGTTGCACTAGGGTCAAGCATTCCCACTCGTCTGCATTTAGCCATGCATCGGCCATGCAGTCAAGTACAGCGCCTCCAGGTTCGGGTGCAGGAGACTGCCGTGATTCTGAGACAGCAGGTCTGGCCAGAGAGGGAGTCGGAGCGGCTCAGCTACCAAAAGGTCCAGCGGCATGCCGAACCACTGCTGGTGAGGCCACTAGGGAGCTATCAGGATAACTTTCACCCTGTCCCGCTTGATTTTCACTAGGACTCTGTGGATCAATGGATGGGTGGGAAGGCGTGTATCAGGGCCCCTGACCACAGAAGTAGGAAAGCATCTGACAGGGAACTCCTGTCCATCCCCTGGAGCGAACACAACATGTGGCATTTCCTGTTTTGGTGGGACACGAACAAGTACACCTGGGAAGTCCCCCACTTCCGGAAGATCATACTGGCCGCCTCCGGATGGCGCGACCACTCATGGCGATACAAGAAGGTTCTGCTGAGGCGATCTGCTAGCACATTCTTGGTGCCGGGCAGGTGTGCAGCTACCAGATGAATGGCATGCCGCACACAGAAGTGCCAAAGGTTGAGAGCTTCTTGATATCAGAGCCAGGTCATCAGCCCTCCTTGTCTGTTGATATAATGCATCGTGGTAGTACTGTCTGCGAGTCCCTGCACCACCTTGCCCCTCAGGTGGGGCAAGATGGCCTGACAGGCCAGGTGAACTGCTCTGAGCTCCCTGACATTGATGTGGAGGGACAGATCATCCTGCATCCATCAGCCCTGGGTGCTCAGCTTGCCCAGGTCTGAAGCATCAGCGATCAGGATGGGACAGGGTCGCAAAGGAGACTCCCTGAAATACTGACAGCCTCCAACCACCAATCCAGGGACTATAGGATGTGATCTAGCACCCTGACCACCCAGTCTAGATCACTCTGTTGGGGGTGTAGATCTATCCCAGCCACGCTTGCAGAAGCCAGAGGTGGAGCCGGGCATGACTGACCACGTAGTTACAGGCGGCTGTGTGGCCTAACAACTGCAGGCAGGTGTGAGCTGTGGTGAGCGGGCAGCTCCTCACATGAGAGATCAAATCAGACATGGCTGGAAAATGCGCCTCCGGGAGGAAAGCTCTGGCTTGCATGGAGTCGAGAACTGCTATAATGAACTATGCGTTGGACCAGCGCTAATGTGGATTTTCTCTCATTTATCAACAGGCCCAGGTTGTGGCAGGTGGAACGCACCACACTGAGACTTCTCTGCACGTGGCTCCGGGACCTGTCCTTGATGAGCCAGTCATCGAGGTATGGGAACACCTGGATCCCTCAACATCTGAGGTAAGCAGCCACCGGCGCCAGACAATTGGTAAAAACCCTTGGGGCCGATGAGAGGCCAAAGGGGAGCGCCATGAATTGGAAATGGCGTTCGCCCACTATAAACTGGAGGAAATGCCTGTAACTTTGGAATATGGAGATGTGAAAATAGGAATCCTTCAAGTCGAGGGCAGAGTACCAGTCTCCTGGATCCAGGGAGACCATATGAAATTTCAACTTTTTGAGAGACTTGTTGAGGCATCACAGGTCCAGAATAGGGATGAAGATGATGATTGCACCGTTGGGGGAGGTTCCAGGGCTTCTTCACGGTGGTGCATACTTGATATGAGGATGAACAGAGTTTCCGTGCCTGAGAAATCCCCTTCCGGTGACCACGGTGGGGCAGTCAACACCTGGGTCTGATTGCTGGCCATTGCTGTTAGGGACTGGTGCCAGAGTAAGGTGATCAGTGCCAGTATCAAAGGGACCAGAGATGCAATGGGGAGCACTCCCACAATGCGGGCGACCAGGACCTGCGCCTAGAAGACTATCTGCAGGAGGGTGAGCGACGTAGGTAGTATGGCGACTGGCGTCTTGCTCTGGGCGATCCACGTCAAGACGGTGGCAACCGGAAATGTGGCACCAGTGACCAAGGATGAGCCCCAGAGCGTCCAGGCTCCGGCGACCTGCAGCACGGAAGTGGAGAGCGCTTCTTCGTCTCGGGGAATTGGCAGCGCTCCACTGCCCTCTAGGGTTCTTCGCATCTGATTTGCGCATGTGGGGAGCCTTTGCTGGTTCCTATGGCACATGCTGCATCAGCGGTGCGGGTGGAGGCCAATGCTCTCTTGGTGCCGGAGGAGCCTGCGAAGGTGTCTGTGCCGCCAGGGTTTTGGGTCCCATGCCACTCCTGGAAGTCAGTGGTGGACCTTTCACAGGACTAAGAGCTCCGGTTGGAGGGGTGCAAGTGCACGGTTCCGGAGTGGCCAGATGGCCTGAAGCAGGTCCTTTGCCCAATGGCCCATGGCCCTTTTTGCTCAGTGCCGGGGTTTTAGACTTCTTTTTGGGCACTGGCAATGGGGAACAGTGCCGGGTGCAGGGGGAACTCCATGAGGAGAGCCTGAAGCCAAATATCCCACTCTTTTTGTGTACGGGGCCGGAAGTTCTTACAAATTCAGCACTTGTTCTCAAAGAACCCTAACTGTTATGAATAAAACTATTTATAAGGCCCTAAGTCTCGAAGACAATAGACGAAAACAGCTAGCCCTTGCAATGCAAGGGAAGGCACTCCGAGTAACCACCACAGGTGGTAAGAAGGAACTGAGAGGGCGTAGGATCGGTGGCACCTGATATATCGATGCATGAGCGCTGCACTCAAGGGGGCACCACGGCCACCCCTACAGATACTGCTAAGGCAAAAATCTCTGATGACCGCGCATGTGAGCATGCGCACACCTAGAATGAAATCATCATGAGCAAGCACTCGAAGAAGAACTTTCGTTATTAATGACTGCGCACATTATGGCAACTATTAAGAGTTGCATAAATAGCAAATCTAAAAAAAAGCAGATGCAAAAGAATGAAAATAAACGTGAAATTTATAAAAAAAAGTTACCTGATTCAAAAGTTGGCATTTTCAAGTCACCTTGGTTCAGTTCTGTGCCATATTTTAATTTATGATATTTTGCCCTGAAAATTAAGCATAATCGGTATATAAAAAAGAAAATAATTTCTTAAACTCAAACACCTCTTAATATTACAATTAAACAAACATGTTAAGATACAGAATACATATTTCAATACTTTTATTTGGATAATTACTGAAAAGTCATTGAACCATTGAGTCAAACATTTTCAAAAACATGAAAGTGTGCTCATTTCTCATAACCACATATACCCCAAAATTTTATTAGTAAAGAAATTGTATTTGAGAACTTGTGTGTTATTTATGAAGGATTTTATTTTATGTCAGTAGGTAAAAAGCTTTTCAGGCTGTTCAATCTAGTCAGGATGGATAAAGACAAGGATTTATTTAAAAAAATTGAAACTTTAAAAATTTTAATGTAATATATTTTTCTTTTTAAAAATAACCTATTTAAAATTAAATTTTAAATTATGAAAATGTGTATTAGGGCCTGAATTTACTATAACCTATTAAAATAATTTAAATTAAACAAAAATCATAATATAAGATAACACATTTCCTGACTAAGTATTAAAGAAAGTCAAACCACTGAACTGGTGGATGTCACTGACTAAGCATCTGGAACCAGAGCTTGTTGAAGTGCTAAACTGGGTTTCCAGAGCAGTAGCCTCTTCTAAAGTTGCAGAAAGAATATTATCTTCACTTCAGTTTATTCAATTAGTTCAGTTCAATGATCACCCCCATTCCTGGATCCCCAGCTCTACTTCCCTCTCTTCACAGTATCCTGCCGAGATCTTGAAATAGAAAAATCTACATGATCTGACATGACCATCTCCTTCCCCTTCCTATCATTCTCTCCTCCTTTCCTCCCAATACTGACATGAAGTTTCACACCTGTTCTCCAACTCTAATCCCTTCACATGGCCAAGTGACCTCAACACATCTAATCTTTCTTGGCTCCGTTCTTATCCCCTCTTTTTACCTCTCCTTAACTTTTCACTCTCTAATAACTTCCCATTGCAATACAAGCATGCATTAATCTCATCCCACTTGCCTCTCCAACTCTCCATCACCTCCTAAACATTAGATGTGCCACCTTCAATCCTGCCTGGAAGTTCCTTCCCTCCAATTCCATTCTATAGCCTTTCCAATCTGGCTTCTGCCTCATGCACTTCACTGAAAAAGCTCTCACTAAAGTCTCACGGAAAATCTTGCTCAGACACTGCTGCCCTGGGCTTGAGCATGCCCAGTGCAGACACCATTTTTGGTAACTTAGCTGACAAATCTGAAGTCTCTACTGAGCATGTGTCAATTGTGATTTTTCAGGGTTTGTCTATATATGGAGTTATTCCAGAATAGCTATTCTGCTTTAAATTCACATCCTACCTTAATCTGATAACCTCCCTGTGTAGCAGACAAGCCCTGCAGAGGCTTATAATTTGACTAAATTGACCAAGTTGTCACAGGGATGGCAAAAAGCCCACTCCTGGCACCAGTGCAACTGCCCTTTACCCCATGTCAAATTTCAACTCCATACTCCAAAACAGAGATGCTAGAGATTTTCAATTAAGAAGTTGTAAGGATTTTTTTTTTTTTTTTAACATAAGCAAAACAGTATTTCCACCAACTTGATTTTCTGAAACAGATGAACCATTTTAGATGAAACTTTCCAATAAATTCAGACACCGGGTGTGGAAAATTTTAGTCCAAATGGTTAAAGTTAGGCAAAGTTATATGCAATTGAAAACTGGATCTTATAAGGGAAAGTGTCAGGCAACCTTAGCTATAAGTAGCACTACTGGCTCTGCCTATATTTATCTGCAGTAAAACACAGAATCCTAAGCACCTCAACTTAAATCCTAAAAGGAACAAAGCCTTTCAGTTTATCTTTAAAATGTATTTGTAGAAACTTCTGAAATATTTAAAAAAAATTTAATTAGTTGGAACTTCAGCTATTTTAAAGTTGTTTATTAAAGTGACTCAGTAGGTTTTGAAAGTTTTTTTTACACTGGACTCTAACATGAGAAATTAAGCCTAGACTTCAGAAATACCACATGTTGCATCTTTGGAATTTTAAAAACATATTTGAGCTCTGGACTTACTTTTTCAAATAAAATGAACTGATAAGATTTTAGATTTCTTGTAAATTATTTCACATTTCATAAAGAAAGCACATGATTAAAATATTGTGTATTTTACTGAATAATTTCTGAAAGTACAGCAAGTATTTTGGCTTAACTGCATTCCAATAAATTTATAAAAACAAAAGCAAATGTCATGTAACAAGTTTGAAAGAACAAATATTTTAAAAAAGAACTTATAATTTTGATCTTAGAGCTATACTTTCAATGTATAACATAGATTCAATTTTATCTTCTACCTAGACATAAGATAGGTATCCAATTTGAGTGGACATTGATCAGAGAAAGTAATCACTTCAAATTATATTTTAATGAAAACACTGTAAGATGTGATTAGTCTATCCTTCGTGTTAGATAAGATTTGTTTTTAATATGCAAACTAATTTTGAATATGCAGTCAAGAAATTAAACCAATATTCTCTCATCAGAAGCCAATAAAACAATTCTAAAATGTAGTTTAGATCACAGTTGTTAAACACTCAATCTGCCTAATACATTTATGTGGCCTCCTTGCATATTCAGATTCTGCAACACCTTAGCCTTCATTAAAAAAAAAAAAAAAAATCTGGTAACTCATGGTTGCAAAGCTAATGTTCCACACGTGAATGAAATTGTACATTGATGCAATGATGTCTTCCTCAGTCTGCAGACAGCCTGAAACAACAGCTCTGTCTGCTTTGAATGGACAAGAAGCACTGTCCATTAAAGCAGAGGTTGGAAATAATAGGAGATTAGAAAAACTAAGCAGGAATACTGCTGTTACAGGACATTCCCTTGTAACAAAATGCACTTGTACGTTCAGTTAGTCCTGGCATTTTTGTGCCCTTTTCTGTTGACTTCTCTATTCCTCTAGTTGCCTGTGAGGTATTTGTGCCAGAGAGGCTGGCCCAGACAATGCACTGGAAGCTGCTGTAACCAGCTCTCTCAGTAACAGAAAGGTATTGCCAGCGTCTAGCCTTGGGGATTGGTCAGAAAAATAGAAGCCCAGTAATGCTTAGAAGGCAATAAACCCACTAAGACGAACAAAAATGATTCCTTTTTTGTTGCTTTGTTGTTCCGAGCAGGACGTCTGATAAAGCCTTCCTGCAGCTGCAGGAGGCAGTTCAAACTGGCTGGCTCAGCCCTTTAAGGGTGTGGCCACTCCCAGCATGTTTTGACTGACAGATCTGGTTTACGCCTCCAAGGAGCTGCAAGCAGATGTAAGATCCATTGTAATGGATCTGCACACTTTCCCTATGAAGAATAATTCTTTTAGGGGTTTGAAAAGAATTTAGTGACCTCACATAAAATTTTCAAAAGGGGCTTATGTCACTTTTGAAAATGGGATCTAGGTGCTTTTGAAAATTCTACCAATAGTCTCAATAACAGCTTTCAACTACTTTTTAATTAAGTTATACCCTTTCTTAGTGACCGACCAGATCATGCTACCAAAAACAATTTTTATTAGAAAGGGACTACTGAAGGAGAGTTTAAGGTAGTTTTTTTAATTCCTTCACCATATCAATACTCATCTAGAATACAAGTCACTATAGTGAAGAAAGAGGATATGCAGACAGAATTATTCTTGGGCAACTAGCCTGAAGATGTCAAGGACGTGCATGGATAAATATATCTGAGTTGACTGCGGTTGCCAAATATAGTTTGGGGTTACTGAAGATCTACACAATAGGTTGGAGTATTTATTTATGTACTTATTTTTAAGTTGGGGGAAGGAGGTGGCATACTTCAATGCATACTCAGAGTAACGCTGAGTGGAACTTCCCTACTTTGTAAGAGATTCAAACTGAGGACTAAATTTGACGCTATCGTTAAAAATATTGTCATATCACCAGTAAATTCCTAAATATCTTTGAAACAGGTATTATATTTTGCATTCAACCAAAATATACAATAGAAAATTGTTTAGGTTTGAAAGGGCAGCAATAATGTACATTCACTAAATGCAAAACAATCTTTATGTGACATTCTTAAGGTGTCAGTACTAGTTTAATAGGTGAGAAACAAGTGATGTTAGGTATTCGCTATGTAACCTTCATATGCCTTCATATGCCTCATTTAGAAACAACACCTCAGAGTGTGACATTAATGCTTAAGGAATGCTGCTCTTTGAAATGTAAAATGCACATTTCACATTGTGAAACAAATGAATTAAAAAATGATTAAAAAAGAAAATACTACTTTTCTTTATGATTTGAGTCTCATCTGTATAACATGGAGCAGGAGAAGCACAGCAAATTTTTTAGTTATTCTATGTCTTTAGAAGTCTGAAAAACAGTGGTGGATTCCAGTTTTGGTTTTTTCTGTCATACAATTATTTTCTGATTTATGAAAGGTGAAATGGACAATGCTCTTTGTGTTTACTACTACTACACAGGATATTATACCAACATTTCTTCATACATCATAATATTCAACTTTGAAAACGTTATTTGACTGCTATTGTGGCAGCAGTAGAAGTACAAAATTCTATTTCTGTAAGCCAGCAAAACAGCCAGTTTAAGAAAAAAAATTGGCCTTTAGTTTTAGGGATTTTTTCAGTAGGATATTTAGGAATTGCAGACTCTTTCTCAGACTAAATTTCAGTTTAGACCAAACTGATGGCAAAAAAATGAAGAGTTCCTTTAATTTACTCAAGTTCTCTGAAATGTTCCTGTACCTTAGACCAAGTGTTAAAATGTAAAGAAATTACCCTCTATTTTGTAAAGTATCTTTCAGCACAGATAAATGTTGAATGAACATGAAAACATACCTTTCTTGTTTTAATGCATATTCTAACATTTTTATTCTTCTTACTAAATCTTTCTTCAAGTTTTCCTGACCTTTTCTTTCTCCTTGTAGAAAAGCTATCCGAGCCTGAAAACACAAAAAGAATAGATTTGTTTTGTTCCATTCACCTGCAGTACAGATAAACACAATCTAGTTCACTGAATGACAAGAGTTTGTTTTGGTAATATTTAGTTTCAATCCTTGTAGCTGAAAGCATTACTGACAAATATTTGCTTCACTGAATGTTTTAATGCTACCCAACCAAAGGCATACAGGGGAAAGGCAGACCAAACACTTAGTTCCTTCCCCAGTTGAAATCTTCTAAGGACTTCAAATAGAGGGGAAACAGGCCAGGTTGTTGAATACACAGACAGCACATCTCAAAGAACAAGTAACCTCTTTTTCTTCATTTGAGTTGTTTACATGTGTGACATTCCCCTCTGGTGTTATCTAGACCGGTGATCCGCTAGGCCACTCCAATCCTTGACTCTGGGAGCCAGCCTTATCCTACTCTGCTGTGAGAACCCCCACTCCTGGGCAGTTCACGCACAGCCTCGGGCATGTAAGTCGCTCCCAGCTACTTGCAAGCGAATGACACTAGCCAATATCTCCGGTCCAAGACACAACCCTAGGAACCTCTGTCTTGCAGTGTCCAGTTATGCCCGCTGGACGCTGCAAGCTTATAGGAGTTTGTCAATTTAACAAAGAAATTGATATGTACCAGGCTTGTTATCCCAAGGGGAGTCTCTGACATGCTTCAAACCAAATGCACTGCTTCCAGTAAAATAAACAAACAGATTTATTAACTAACTATGAAGATAGATGTTAAGTGATTATAAGTCAAAGTGTAACAAGTCAGAGTGGTTACCAAAAGAAAAAAGATATAAGCACGCAGTCTAAACTCTCAACGCTATTAGACTGGGCAGTAACTAGATTAAGCCATTTTTCTTACTCCACTGGATATTGCAGTCCTTAATATACAGGTTTGTTCCTTAAACCTGGGCCAATCTCCTGTGTTGGAGTCTTTTCTTCTCAGTGTCTTGGTTGTTTGCAGCATAGGTTAGGGTTACCATATTTAAAAAATAAAAAAAAAGAAGAGGACACTACAGGGCCCTGGCCCTGCCCCTTTCCCACTCCCCGGCCCCGCCCCACCTCCGCCCCTTCCCCAAAGTCCCTGCCCTAACTCCCCCTCCTCCCTCCCAGCCACGCAAAAAGGGCTGCCCGAGCGCTACCGGCTTCACAGTTTGCCGGGCAGCCTCCAGACCCTGCGCCCCCGGGGAGGAGCAGAGCAGCCGGAGCCCGAGAGGGGAAGTGCCCGGCCAGCGGCTCGGGGTCCAGAGGCAAGGGGGCTGCCCGAAGCCCGTAGCGCTCAGGCAGCTCGGCTCTTAAACAGAGCCGAAGAGTCAGGGGAGAAGCAGAGCAGTCGCGGGAGGGGAAGTGCCCGGCCGGTATTTTTCCCCGGACATGTTCGGCTTTTTGGCAATTCCCCCCGGACGGGGGTTTGATTACCAAAAAGCCGGACATGTCCGGGAAAAACCGGACGTATGGTAACCCTAGCATAGGTGGGGCAGGAGAAGGGCCCAGTATGTGTCCACTCTGTCTGTTTTATACTCTCAGTCCATGTGCTTGGGGAGCACAAAGTCCAGGCATGTCTGGAGAGCACTGCTGAGTCTCTCCAAGCAAGGTTGAGCAATTCCCCTGGTGTGGCCTCATGCAGGTGAGTCATTGCATTGTAGCTCCCTTGCTGGACAATGGCTGTTGATGGGTTGTTTGACACCCCGCCCAGGCACTGGTTACTTTCCTTGCTGTTGCTTCTGGGGAGCTAATATCTGGCTGATTCCCCAACTTACAGCATGCTTTTGTGACCACCACACAACACAATTCTCATAACTTCATATGCATTAATGATACACATACACCTCTACCCAGATATAATGCGACCCGATATAACACAAATTCAGATATAACGCAGTAAAGCAGCACTCCGGGGGGGTCGGGGCTGCGCGCTCCAGTGGATCAAAGCAAGTTCAATATAACACGGTTTCACCTATAACGTAGTAAGATTTTTTGGCTCCCGAGGACAGCATTATATTGGGGTAGAGGTGTATATGGAGAGAAAAAAAAAAGACTTTCAGCAGATCATAAACCTTTCCCCTGATACCTTACAAGGCATGCTTTATATGTAAGATCACAAGTATATGAAAATGAGGAATATGGGGATTACAGTACACTCCCCCCCTCCCCCTCCAAGGTATAGAATGTCACAATATGTCTTCCACTCTTGGAGATAGAAAACAGTTAACAGATGGAGGTGGGTATTAGATCTGTATTCATGTAAGAGTTCAAGTACTGCTCTACCAAAGGCTGCATCTCCTACAAATACCTGGCCAACTGCATAATGTTTCCTTAAAGTATGAATAGAAGATCATGTGGCTGCCTTACAAATTTCAAAAGAGGAGATATTATTAAAAGCAGCTACAGAAGCAGCTTGTGCTCTTGTACAATGTGCCTTAACTACTAACAAAGGATCCCGACCAGAAAAGTGACAGCACAATATAGTACATCACAAAATCCAGTTCAAAAGTGTTTGAGAAGAAATTGGTTTAACCTTTAACTCTGTGAGCATGTGTCACAAAATGATTTGGAAGAAATCCTAAAATATTTAGTCCTCTTCAGATAGAAAGCTAAAGCTCTATCTACATATAAAGAGTGTAGAGTCCTCTCTATTAGCATAAGATTTTGAACAAAATATTGGTTAATTAATTGGCTCGTTAACGTAATTAAGAGGAGTTTTTGCCAAGCAATAGTTTTTGATGATCTGTCAAAGAGTGAATATCTGGTCACAACATGATCTATCTGGACGGAACCCAGCCTGTTCTTGTAATATTTCATTCACTGCTTTCTTCATTCTACTCAGCATAACAATAGCCAATACTCTGTCTGAGACTGATAGTAGTACAATACCTCTCCAGTTTGTTCATTAAGATCACCCTTTTTTTTGCAATCCCATGATCATTTCCAGTCTTGGACAGTTGTTCCTTCACCCATATTTCATTACAGAGTTTTGTTAGCTGCTCATTCAGAATTTCACCTTTCATACCAATTTGAATTCTGTCAAACATCAGGAGCTGTCTCCTGTTTCAGGCTTTTGATGGCTGCTTTAATTTCATCGGGTGTTCTTGGTCCCTCTTCTATTTCTAACTTAGCACTGGCATTTCTCTCAAACCCATGAATGATGGTTGGCTCTGGACAGTTTAATACGGAATGGAAATGTTCTATCATCTGACTTGTTCTTCATGCATTTTCAACATTTGCCCATGAATGTCCCTGATCAGCATCACCTGTGATGGTCTGGTTCTTCCTGAGAAGTCTTTCACTATTCTTTAGAGCTACTTGACGCCGCCGCTCTGTGCTGCTTCTTCTGACTTTGCAGCCTTCAATACTGTCTACTGAATAACCCTGTGGAATATTGCTAGAAGCTATGGGGTGCCAGACAAGCTGATCAACATAGTAAGGAGTTTGTGTGAAGAAGCGGATGTGCAGTAAAATAGGATACAGGCCTGGGTGAGTGGCTCGAGTGTGTGACAGGAGTTAGATTAAGGTGTAAATTATCACCAATTCTCTTTGTATTAGCAATAGACTTGGTGATGAAGCGGGAAACAAAAGGCATCATGAATGGTGTAAAATGGATTAGCAGAGATGAGATACATGATCTTGACTTTGCCAATGACACTGCTTTACTAAGTATGACATCAAATGGAATGACTGCCCTTACATTAGAGGTAGGAATAGGGAGCTGTAAAAAATGGACTGGAAGTAAATGCAGAGAAAACCAAGATTATGAAGATAGGAAACTGAACAACAAATGCAAAGATGTACATGGATGGAAAAGAAATTTAACAGGTAGAAGAGTTCTGCTATGTGAGGAGGGTGATGATATTTGAAGGTAGCTGTGAAAGATATTCATACAAGATTAGGAAAAGCAAACACCACTGGATCTGGTCTACCTGATGTGTCAGCAGCATAGGAGGAACTAAAGTCTAAGGTAAGATTAACATGAAACTCAGACACAAGTTAGGCAGGAAACTCAGATGACACCTTAATGAAACCTTATCCCCCATGAAAAATCTTATAGGGAGGACCTGGTATCAAAGCATTAATTCCACCCACTCCATGAGCAGAAATAATCATTACTCAAAACACAGTTTTCATGGATACAAGACTTAACAGACAGGTAGCAAATGGTTCAAACAGGGTTTTCATTAAACTTGACAACACAATATTCAGATACCATAGAGCAGATGGATCCTTTATAGGGGAAATACTTGAAGTAGACCCTTAAGAAATCTTTTTGAAATATATTTTTCTCATTCTATTAAAACCATTAATCTTAGGATGACAGGCAGATACTGAAGCTAGATTCACTTTAATAGAACTGATAACCCAGAGGATTTTAAGGACAGAAGGTAATCTAAAATGAAAGGAAAAATCAGCCTAGAAAAGGGAAATAATCTGATCAAAGCATCAAATCTTTTCCAATTACAGTTGTAAGTAGTTCCCATAGAAAGTTTTCTACTATTTATTAAAATGTCCTGAACTTCTTAAGAACAGATTTTCTCAGCCGCATTCAAGCAGCTAATATCCAGGCTATCAGATACAGGGATGCTAAGTCTGGATGAACAATTTTCCAGTTCTGATACCAAGTCACTATAGCCAGTCACTTTGTCAAGACACTTGGAGCCAAATATTATGTACTGGTAATGGGCCGTTTCTACCACAAATCTTAAAAAAAAATTTGGAGCAGGATGGAGATAGGAAAATATGGATTAAGCAGATCCACAGTAGCAAACCAATCCAGTAGAGTTTTCAAAAGTATAGAAACAAGAGTCACCATTCTGAAAAGTCTTGAGTTGTCTCAAATCTAGAATGACCCAACCGTCTCCATTTTATTTGTGGTAGAAGGAAAATATGAGAATAGAAACCTTTTCTTTAATTGAAAGGAAACCTCTTCTATAGCTCCAAGTTCTAACAGGCATTGAAATTCCTCTCGTAGAAGCAATTAGTGAAAGGGGTCCCTGAAAAAGGAG